TGACTGTCATTCCACCCAGGATGGAGGGGTCAGACTGGGCAGAGAGAGAACAGAGAAGACGTTCAGACTTGTAGCAGCATGTACAAACCAGCTCATAGTCACTATATTTCGCTGACTTTATGGTGAGGATTGTAGTCTGGGGTAACGGAAATATAAGTCTAAAATGTCAATGTAGGTGATTCCATTATTCTTTCATCCACTGTGGCTTGTTATTTCTTTTTACATTTTTAGTCATTTTAGCAGACGCTCTTATCCAGAGCGACTTACAGTTAGTGAGTGCTTACATTTTCATACGATGTCTATTCAGTATTAGCTATTCAGTAGCCTCCTCTGTGAGTTCCTAGTTCCCACCTTAGTCTCCAGCTCAAGCGTCTCTCCTCTGGCCAGGAACCCATTCAGAGCAACTCTCAGGTCTTTGAGGTTGTGAAAGACACACAGGATTAGGAAGACGTCAAATAATTCACCTGCAAATGATCCAAGTCCTGTAAATGTAAACGTAAATTAAATTTTAGTGTTGATTAATGTACGTCTTGAGTTGGCTGATCTGGGATTAGATTAAATCTGTGTAATGATGGAGTGTGTGTGTGTGTGTGTGTGTTAGATCTCACCTGTGTGGTGCTGACAGTACAGATGACCTCTCCATGGTGGGCACTCATCATCTTACTGAAAGCTGAGATTACGTCAGAGGTCAGGAGGTCAGACAGCCTTTATCAGCCAATAACATCTGAGGAATGGAAGTAAAGATACACTATTATTCAATTCAATACAAATGTAGTTAATCTCCTGTGATGGAAAATGTTGTTTGTGCTTTTCTAATAACCAATTTCTGTGTTCATGCAAGTGACTGATTGAACGAATCCTCACTGTCAGTATCTGCAATTTGGGCAGTACGCCCAGAACCTTGTTTTGAGAACGAAAGATATCTCAGTTTCAAGGTCTCAGCTTAGAGAGAAGAAGCCCTGTGAGGTATTGGTCTGTCACATGCATGAACCAGGATTGGTCGGTCACATGAATGAACCAAAGGTTAATGATGAATTAAATACGAATGATAAATAAGCTAAATCATGCAAATATAACTTGTCTGTGCAAGTATATAAGAGAACAAAACGGGACTGCCCCAATGGAGCCCACTTCAGACCGGTACTTTATGCATCTAAGTTTGACTGTGACCTCTCCAGCTTGCTGTTAATAAACAATGATTCATTTAAGATTGACTTTGAGTGTCCCTGTGTTACTGGCTACATCAGGGCATCAGACACAGGCACGTAAACATCACAGACAACTGTTATACATTACACAATTATTACACACAACTTTTGTAACACTATCTTTCTTTCACCTGTCTGTCGAGACAGATACACAAGTCTGACATACAGTGCCTTGCAAAAGTATTCATCCCCCTTGGCGTTTTTTTCCCATTTTGTTGCATTACAACCTGTAATTTAAATGGATTTTTATTTGGATTTCATGTAACGGACATACACAAAATAGTCCAAATTGGTGAAGTGAAATGAAAAAAAATAACTTGTTTCAAACAAAAAATAAATAACGGAAAAGAGGTGTGTGCATATGTATTCACTCCCTTTGCTATGAAGCCCCTAAATAAGATCTGGTGCAACCAATTACCTTAAGAAGTCTCATAATTAGTCAAATAAAGTCTACCTGTGTGCAATCTAAGTGTCACATGATCTCAGTATATATACACCTGTTCTGAAAGGCCCCAGAGTCTGCAACACAACTAAGCAAGGGGCACCACTAAGCAAGGGGCACCACCAAGCAAGCGGCACCATGAAGACCAAGGAGCTCTCCAAACAGGTCAGGGACAAAGTTGTGGAGAAGTACAGATCAGGGTTGGGTTCTAAAAAAATATCTGAAACTTTGAACATCCCACGGAGCACCATTAAATCCATTATTAAAAATTGAAAGAATATGGCACCACAACAAACCTGCCAAGAGAGGGCCGCCCACCAAAACTCACTGACCAGGCAAAGAGGGCATTAATCAGAGAGGCAACAAAGATACCAAAGATAACCCTGAAGGAGCTGCAAAGCTCCACAGCAGAGATTGGAGTATCTGTCCATAGGACCACTTTAAGCCGTACACTCCACAGAGCTGGGCTTTATGGAAAAAAATAAGCAAACAAGGCATGTGGGAGACTCCCAAAACATATGGAAGAAGGTACTCTGCTCAGATGAGACAAAAATTTAGCTTTTTGGCCATCAAGGAAAACGCTATGTCTGGCGCAAACCCAACACCTCTCATCACCCCATCCCCACAGTGAAGCATGGTGGTGGCAGCATCATGCTGTGGGGATGTGTTTCATCGGCAGGGACTGGGAAACTGGTCAAAATTGAAGGAATGATGGATGCCGCTAAATACAGGGAAATTCTTGAGGGAAACCTGTTTCAGTCTTCCAGAGATTTGAGACTGGGACGGAGGTTCACCTTCCAGCAGGACAATGACCCTAAGCATACTGCTAAAGCAACACTAGTGGTTTAAGGGGAAACATTTAAATGTCTTGGAATGGCCTAGTCAAAGCCCAGACCTCAATCCAATTGAGAATCTGTGGTATGACTTAAAGATTGCTGTACACCAGCAGAACCCATCCAACTTGAAGGAGCTGGAGCAGTTTTGCCTTGAAGAATGGGCAAAAATCCCAGTGGCTAGATGTGCCAAGCTTATAGAGACATACCCCAAGAGACTTGCAGCTGTAATTGCTGCAAAAGGTGGCTCTACAAAGTATTGACTTTGTGGGGGTGAATAGTTATGCACGCTCAAGTTCTGTTTTATTGTATTATTTCTTGTTTGGTTCACAATAAAAAAAAATATTTTGCATCTTCAAAGTGGTAGGCATGTTGTGTAAATCAAATGATACAAACCCCCAAAAAAATCAATTTTAATTCCAGGTTGTAAGGTAACAAAATAGGAAAAATGCCAAGGGGGGGTGAATACTTTGGCAAGCCACTGTAAGGCTGGCTACCCACTGATGAGGTGATGATGAGGGGAGACATCCCTGTCTTTGTCATGACATCAGTGTTGGTGTGTTTGATGCTGCGTTTAACATGGGGGTTCATCATGATGCCAGATAGCTTGGGGTCCTTGACTAGGGCTTGGAGGAACAGAAATATGCCTGTTTACTATAGCTATGGGGCAGTAGCTGGGTGCCAGTCTGAAAAGAGAAAAGTATCCAGGTTCATGGGACAGATGACAGTCAGCAATTCCCATGTATGTATGTGTGTGTGTGTGTGTGTGTGTGTGGGAACCGAATGGGACTGACATACAGACACTGTGACCACTTGCTCCAGTCTGCCCTGCTTGCTGGCTTCTGAGGAGAGAGGTATAGCGACCCTCAACTCCCTACACCTGGACGGGAGGCTAAAATAAACAGGGATAAACAGGTTGCAGAGAGGTTTTCCTTGTCATTGCACCCATTAGACATTTTGGGATTATCTTGAGATATTTTGCTTAATTTTTTGACCATCTGTGACGGCTACATCTTTCGACTAGACACCTGTGTTTGATAATATCGTTCTCAAGTCGTCAGACATCATTGAGCCCTTCCAGTAGCTTGTTCGTTCTGCTTTTCTTACCTTGACCAGCACTTGCCTGGTCAGCCAAGCGCTGAACTGACGGACCTGCGAGAAGAGAGAGAGCATTGCTTGGATAAAACTGGCATTGATTTGACAGCGAGTGAGCAGTGTTGCCAATTTAGCGACTTTTTCCGCTATATTTAGCGAGTTTTCAGACCCCCTCTAGCGACATATTTTTTAAAAATCGACTAGCGACAAATCTAGCGACTTTTTCTGGTGTTATTGGAGACTTTTGGAGACTCTGACGTGAAAGCACGTATCGTTCTTACTCTTCTCAACGAGCAGCGGGTGCTGCCATCCCACCCACGTCCCAAAGCACTCACAAACGTCAACTTCAATGGGGTAACGTCAGAGTTGGGATGTCCCAAGGATTCAGTATTGCACAGACCATTTTCTTCTACTGCTGTGTAGGATGAAACTCAATGCGCATGCGTGTGTCTTGAACCTGAGGAGCCGCCTCAAATTCTGGGAAGTTGTACTTGCATCCTGCCAGTCCGTTTTATTTATTCACTGTGAATGCACAGTAGTCCTATGCATTTGAATAACAGTAGATCTATTTACACTATTATCCACAATATTCATGGTATTTATTTTGATACCGAGAGCACAGTGTAGTTCCCATTTGCAACCACACGGTGGCAGCATAGCCCAGGTGAAGGGGACCAGTGAAGTACATCGGCCAATGACGTAAACGCAGCAAGACCAGGGGGGTTAGTTTATCTGACTCGGGTTACCCCGGTGGAATACATTTTAATCGGGTGAAAAGTGATTGCATTGTTTTGGAACTGGGCTGATGAGTAGGATTCTGTGTTTTCACATGCAAAAGTGATTGCTTTTGATTTTTTTTTAAACAGATTCGGTAACCTAGCTAGCTAGTGGGGGGGTTGAACCCATTTAAAACAGAGTCGGTAACCTAGCTAGCTAGTGGTGGGGGGTTGAACCCATTTAAAACAGAGTCGATAACCTAGCTAGTGGTGGGGGTGGGGGGGTTGAACCCATTAGAAACAGAGTCGGTAACCTAGCTAGCTAGTGGTGGGGGGTTGAACCCATTTAAAACAGAGTCGGTAACCTAGCTAGCTAGTGGTGGGGGGTTGAACCCATTTAAAACAGAGTTGGTAACCTAGCTAGCTAGTGGTGGGGGGTTGAACCCATTTAAAACAGAGTTGGTAACCTAGCTAGCTAGTGGTGGGGGGTTGAACCCATTTAAAACAGAGTTGGTAACCTAGCTAGCTAGTGGTGGGGGGGTTGAACCCATTTAAAACAGAGTTGGTAACCTAGCTAGGTCGTGCGTTCATTTTCGACGAAAGCAAAAAGAGTGCGAATGACGAGAAAGCGTTAGCCATCCAGCTAGCATTAGCTAAATTCGTTTTCAATAGGTAACCTAACTAGCTAGCTGAAAAATATCTAGACATGGACGACAAGTCATTCACTAAGGAGTTGGATGGGTGGATTGAGCAACTCGGCGAATGCAAGCAGCTCTCGGAAAACCAAGTCAAAGCCCTTTGCGAGAAGGTAATTGTAACCCATTTCATTCGAATGATCTTGTAAGCCCGTAACTAAGCTAGTTTGCCGGCTAGCATTAGCTAACTGTTAAACAACTATCTTAAATTGCTCATTGGTCTGAACACGGTTAATTTCTCCAACGACGTTTGTATGCTACTGCTAGTTAGTTATCACTAGCTAACTAGCTAACTACATTATTCTGAAAATGGCGGCGGAGCTGCCTATTGCCATTGCATTCACTGTGGAGTTGGCAGACATGCATTGACTGAGTACTGTAGTTTACTTGTAGGATGTAAGGAGCATTGATGTTGTATTTTTATATGAATGTGTTTGGACATTTCAGTTTGATATCCTTGCTGATCTTACTCTCTGTTCTTGCTTGTTGCAGTTGCCCCTTGGGTATCAACTACTGTATATAGTTACAGCTTAAAAATATGCATCATATGCATTTTGTAAATACTCAAACAAGAAATAACATACACACACCCGAACTTGTGCTCTGTATCCCGGATTTCCCCCATCCTCTGACTAAAGCCCTAACCCCAAACTCCTCTCCTCCTTTCCAGGCCAAAGAGATCCTGACGAAGGAGTCTAATGTGCAGGAGGTGAGATGTCCGGTCACTGTGTGCGGAGATGTCCACGGTCAGTTCCATGACTTGGTAGAGCTGTTTAAAATCGGAGGGAAGTCTCCGGACACCAACTACCTCTTCATGGGAGACTACGTGGACAGGGGCTACTACTCTGTAGAGACTGTCAGCCTCCTGGTATCTCTCAAGGTAAACATAGCCAAATGTTTTAGAGCAGGGATGGGCAATTTTAATGGGTTTGAATCCAAATTCATCATGAGGGGCTGCAGTGGCCTTGCCTGACGACTCAAATGGAATTCTTCCGCTGCTCTAAAGTTCGCTACATACTTCAGTCTGAGACTGCCGTCATTGAAGTTGTTTGTGGTGACATCAAAATGAGAAGTATTGTACAAAACAAAGTAATCAGCGATTGGATCATCTCTAACCAATTCGAGTAGCAAAACCAATGATACATTTTCAAACCTCCACTTTACCCACTTGTGTTCTGGCTCTGGCCCAACCCATCCGTTTCTGGGACCAATCAGAACAGTTAGAATGTTTTTCCGTTCTAGAATTCGTTGTGGAGGTACTCGGATCCAGACCCATTGCAGAGGAAAACGCGCATCCGTGGGCGTGGCGTAGCGTTTGGGTAGCCAGGCAAGCAGTGTCTTGCAGCTCTGCATACCCACATCCATACCCACATCCATACCCACATCCATACCCACACATGTAGTCAGAGCCGACCCTAGCCTTTTGGAGGCCCTAAGTAACATTTTGTTTGATATAGATTTTATGGAGGGGGGTGGATTGAAACGCGGGCCTACAAAATACCCTCGGTCCGCCAGCTGCCCATCCCTGTTTTAGAGTACACTCTGAAATAGCTTTGGCCGATTCCTCTCTGATATTGCCTAGTTTTTCCACAGGGAAAAACCACAACGAGGTTAAAACTCAAAACGGGTAGAGGAGGACAGTAAGTCTACAGGGAGGACAGGACAGCCTTCTGATATAACACAGGATAAGATTTACTGCTGCTACTGTAAATGTCATCGTCAACCTTAAACCATGTCTGGTTTGACGTGAGAACAGAAGGTGCAGTCACCTGATTGTAATGTGTGTTGTTATGCGCTTGTTGTCCCACCCAGAGATGTGTTCATCATTTTGTTTTGTTTTTCAGGTTAGGTACCGTGAGCGAATCACAATCCTTCGAGGGAACCACGAGAGCAGACAGATCACCCAGGTGTACGGCTTCTACGACGAGTGTTTAAGGAAATACGGAAACGCCAACGTCTGGAAGTACTTCACAGACTTATTTGACTATCTGCCCCTCACTGCCCTGGTAGATAACCAGGTGAGATATTAGTTGTTAAAGGTGCATTATGCAGAAATTTCCTGGTTGCTAAAATTCTAATAGTTTATTTGACAAAACAAGCAGTCATTGTGTAGAGAATCATTGTTCCATCTAAACCACTGTGAAATATATTTTCCATAACCAAAAATATTGTATTTTCAGCTGTTTGAAGCCGAAAATAAAAGACGCAAAAGCTAAACTTAAGAACAGGAAGCATAGAAATAGTGCACATAGAACAGATCTACCGCTTCTTAGACTCTGTGAATTTGGTCAGGTCGCCCAAAAAGTTACATATTGCAGCTTTAATGTATCACTTTAATTTATTTATTAGTGGAAGCGTTACATAAGTGTCTTTGTTTGGGTCCTTGAAGAGCGCTATATAAAACTAATGTATTATTAGTATCACTTATGAAAGAGAGAGGAGATTCAGCAATACTTGGGAGGACACTGGAATTCAATAAAAAAAAGCTTTTTATTGCTAAAAGTAGAACCAACGCTTTTGACCATCAAAACCACTATGAAGGCCAAAAGCCGAAACACGTTGGTTCTACTTTTAGCAATAAATAAGCTTTTAAATTTTTTTTAAATTCCATTATCCTCCCAAGTGTTGCTGAATATCCTCTCTCCTTCAGTTTGTCCTCAATTCATGCACCTTGGTTGGAAAGAGAGGTAGCGGCAGTGATCCCTTCCCTTATGAGTATTGTTATTAAAAAACCATGCAATTCAGCAGCAATGTGCTGTAGAGTACAGGTCTTAAAAGTAATTGATTTGGACATTTACAACACAATGTTCATATGCATCTGTTACTGATGTTTTTATAGCAATAACACAATGTCAGATGGAAATGTAAAGCCTAAATGATTGATTTTTGTTCTAACCATCACATATTTTAGATGGAAATGTCTAATGGACTTGTCGTTCCTCTGCAGATCTTCTGTCTCCACGGTGGGTTGTCCCCCTCAATAGACACACTGGAACACATCCGAGCGCTGGATCGCTTACAGGAGGTTCCTCATGAGGTCAGCGCACTTCCACGTGCCTAGAAACCACGTCCAATCTCCATACTACCGTGCCAGTTAGAATGCATGCCCAATGTGTCGTTTCATAGTATTGACTTAAACCTCTTGGCCCCCCTTGGGAGCGTAGGGTGTCAACCATGGCTCTCCACCTCACTCACTTCTGTGTGAGGGCTTTTGCCTCTAGCCAAGAGATGCCTGCTTTCTTCAGTTCCTGTAGAGTGGAGCGTCTCCAGTGGTTTAGCGTTTCATAGAATGCTAGTGTGGATATTGAACCAATGGAGTCTGTAAGCCCTGACATTGTATATCAGCTAGTTAATCGGTTCCATGGATTTCTGGCCAACCAGTCACTACTCATCTCACAGTTGTAATATGTGCGCACACACAATGCCTTCGATCACATCATGTGGTGACGCTCCAAGTGTTGCAGCCTGACCTCACCAATATGGCCACCTTATTCACATCATGTGGTGTTCACAGTATTGTTGACCTTACTAAAATGGCCACCGTCTCCCTCCCTCCCTCCTCCAGGGTCCGATGTGTGACCTGCTGTGGTCAGACCCTGATGACCGTGGTGGCTGGGGCATCTCTCCCCGCGGTGCCGGCTACACCTTTGGACAGGACATCTCAGAGACCTTCAACCATGCTAACGGACTCACCCTGGTCTCCAGAGCTCACCAGCTGGTCATGGAGGTACATTGGGACATTTCACCCTCTAAGGACTTATTAAATGCACATTTAAAATGTACACCAGTTAGCCTGATGAAGATGGGCCGTGGTTGAGTCATTGCTACGTTGAAACTGAGTCTGAGGGCAGAAAACAGCGTGCAGGTATTCTCATGTTTCTTCATAATGAAATGTGCCAATATGCACAATCCCTTCAGTGCAGGGTGATTTATCAAGCCTCGCATTCACCAAGATCCACAGCATATAACTGTGTTTTGACTAGCCTTGTCCCAAGATGTCTATCCTTTTTTCTAAAATACTGAAAATTATATAATCTTTGACCAAAATGTAGACATTGTCCTGTTTGCATGATGTAATGATCGTTTTGCACTTTGTGTCTTGTTCCTAGATTTACTGAATGTTTGTTTTTTGACAGGGTTATAACTGGTGCCATGACCGTAATGTAGTGACCATCTTCAGTGCACCCAATTACTGCTATCGCTGTGGAAACCAGGCCGCCATCATGGAGCTGGATGACACGCTCAAGTACTCCTTGTAAGTATTCACTTCAAAATGTGTTTACTAAAAAATAAATCCACTTGTGAATAAAATTGGAAATTGTTACGAGTAGATAAGAAAAGGAAGCTTGCTAACTTATTTATCTTGATTCATGAAATAAAACGAACCCTCCTATTAGATCTAAAAATCGCTCAAAAGCATCATATCAGATATAAATGTGACTGTCTTTTTGTTTCTGGTCCAGCCTTCAGTTCGACCCCGCCCCTCGCAGAGGAGAGCCCCATGTGACCCGCCGCACTCCTGACTACTTCCTGTAAAAGATCCCACTTCCTGTAAAGCATTGCTGTCGAATCTTCTTAGTCAAGAAGGTGGGAAAAGGGAGCGACCCACCATCGGTATAGAGTTGTGACAAATTTAAGCATCCATCTATCCATGGACCAAAATGTGTGCCATCATTACCAATGCAAAAGGAGAAAAAAATGTCACATTCATCTTTAAAGAAGACCACACAACCTACACCCACCACAGTCCCGTTCCTACTCTCTGTGCATGACGTTGTATTTATATCTCTGAAAATGATTCTTCATGATAAAGATTACAGTGGCTGTGTAGTGCACTATATAGGGATAGGGTGCCATTTTGGAAGGAGACAGTCTCTCAGTACCTGCTGGTTTTGTCAGGAAAAATATCTGCTTTGAATGAATTAATCTGCTGAGATTAATTCTTAAATATAACTGTTGTGTTAGGACCGTAATTATGAAATAGATAGGTTCGCCTGAACTCGGCATGGCCTCTAACTGGAAGATTGCGGTAAACATGATATGTTGTGGGGGGGGGGAAAATTGAGCAGAAATTCTATGGCTTTTTTTGTGTGATTTGAAATCATTGTTTTTCAGGGTTGGTTGGGCATTGGATGGAATTGAATTCTTCTTTCTCTTTGCACTTTTGTATTTAATTTTTATCACATGACCCTGACAAACTACAGCATTCTGTTTTATATTTCACCCCCAGCAAATAGCTTTTCTGTCACTCACCTGTCTGTTACGTGAGTCAAATCTATTTCAGTTGAATAGAGGAACACCTGTACAAAATTACATCCCTTTGTTATACACTGAACAAAAATATAAATGCAACATGTAAAGTGCTGGTCCCATGTTTCATGAGCTGAAATAAAATATACCAGAAATGTTCCATATGCACAATAACTGTATTTTGCTAAAATTTTGTGCACAAATTGGTGAGCATTTTATCCTTTGTCAAGATAATCCATCCACCTGACAGGTGTGGCATACCAAGAAGCTGATTAAACAGCATGATCATTACACAGGTGCACCTTGTGCTGGGGACAATAAAAGCCCACTCTATAATGTGCAGTTTTGTCACATAGCACAATGCCACAGATGTTTTGAGGGAGTGTGCAATTGGCATGCTGCCTGCAGGAATGTCCACCAGAGCATTGAATGTTCATTTCTCTATCATAAGCTGCCTCCAACGTTGTTTTGGAGATTTTGGCAGTCGCGTCCAACCGGCCTTACAACCACAGACCACGTGTAACCACGCCAGCCCAGGACCTCCACATCCGGCTTCTTCACCTGCGGGATTGTCAGAGGAGGGAGGGGTGCTGAGGAGTATTTCTGTCTAATAAAACCCTTTTGTGCGGAAAAACATTCTGATTGGCTGGGCCTGACTCCCAAGTGGGTGGGCCTATGTCCTCCCAGGACCACCCATGTCTGCGCCCCTGCGCAGTCATGTGAAATCCATAGATTGGGGCCGAATTTATTTCGATTGACTGATTTCCTCATAAGAACTATAGCTCAGCAAAATCTTTGAAATTGTTGCGTGTTGCGTTTATATTTTTGTTCAGTATAGATACCGGTTTTGCAGCCTCCGCTATATAATAAAGATTGAAGTTGCTCCTTCATTGCTTTGTGGTGTTATTTTAGTTGGTTTTATTTCACGATTTACAGGCATGCAAGGCAGTCTTTTTGATCTAAGGAGTTCTGCATGGCACAGAGGCAAGTGTGCTGAAAAATGTAAAGGCAAATGTGACCTCTCAGAAGTTTCCCCTTGATCCCTAGTTGTTTAGGGATTCCTTCAAGGAATGAAGGGGAACAGAGGATACATTTTTAGTGTATTTGAACAGGGCCCAGATTCCGTCATGCAAAATTGTCAGCCCTGTGATGTTCCATAATGTTGCACTAATTTGTATAATGGTGCTTTCATGACAACTGGGAACTTGGGGGGAAAACAAAGTCAAATGATGACGTTAGTGATAGAAAGATGCTTGAGTTTCCGACTTGGAATGCCGAGTTGGATGACTGTTCCAAATGATTTTTCAAAGTTTGAGCTCGTTTTTTTCTGAGGTCCCAGTTGTATTGAAAGCAGCATATGCCCAAAGTATTATAAGGACAGACACTCTAGAGCAGCGGTGTCAAATTCATTCCATAGAGGGCCTAGTGTCTGCAGGATTTTGGTTTTTTCCTTTCAATTAAGACCTAGACAACCAGGTGACAGGAGGTCTTTACTAATTAGAGACCTTCATTCATCAATTATGTACAAGGGAGGAGTGAAAACCCGCAGACACTCGGCCCTCTGTGGAATGAGTTTGAAGTGCTCTAGAGTCTAATGTCACCTCTATAGAGAACCACAGTATGAGTCATAATACCCATAAAACCTAGCGGTCAAACAAGGATATGGTTCCAATTGTTTTTCCACCATTCATTTTTCCCATAGGGGATTTTAGAAACACTTAAAATAAGGGCTGTGTTTCGTGTTGGCTTACTCTGGCGTGACGTTTTGATAACCGTGTAAATCTCTCTAGGACAAGGTGACTTCTATCAATACATTTGCCTGTATTTACTCCCCAAAAATGAAATACTAATTAGCTGCTAATGTGGCTATCATAAAGAATTTCAAATACCATGATGATCTGGATGAGCCTACCGAATCGAGGCAAAGGTAAGAATCTCTGGATTAACTATCTAATGTTAGCTAAATGTAGTAATTAATAAATTGGCTACATTTCCTTAAATGGACAATTCTATTAACTGTCCTGTGCAAGTTTTAAATTGACACAATACCTGTTAGCAAAGGTGTCAGCTTGAGATGACGGGCAGGGATTTGTAGTCTTGTATTATGTCTACTTTTATGCTAATTAGCATTTTTGAATCTGGGAGTACATAGAGCAGAATATATTGATGAAAGTCACCTTGTCCGAGAGAGATTTACATGGTTATCAAAACATCACGCCAGGGTAAGCCTACATGAAACACAGCCCTTATTTTAAGTGTTTCTAAAATTCTCTATGGGAAAAATGTATGGTGGAAAAAACGATTGGAACCATTTCCCTGTTTGACCGCTAGGTTTTATGGGTATCATGACACCTCCACTGTGGGGCTCTATTACCAATGACTAACCAGCTGATGCTTTGTCCCACTTCTGAGTGAGAATTAGTCATCTGTACTCCCAAAACGGACCACTAGATGGCAGTAAAAGTCCCTAAATTCTTACCTGTAGTTTTTTTTTTTGCGCTACCACGACACTAGTCTAATCTCTAGATAGGCATATGATTTGAATGGCTGCAAAGATTGGGTGGATAAATTAGGTTTATTAGAGGGCATTTTACATATGATTGATAATATGTTTGTTAATGTTTCTCTATGGTTCCATTTAATTTGTATTTTGTCAAATCAAAGGCCCAGTGTACAGCAGCCTACAACTGATTTACAACGGTACAATCCATTAGGTCTGTGTTAAAAGAGCTGACTATTGGAAAACCAGCTTTCCTTCTGCTGCCCTTGGAGTTGAACGTTACCCCTCCATTATCTGAGCTAAAAGTGAATCATTCATGGAAATTTTACTTACAAGCCGCCATGCACTCTAGCAAACCGTATATTTATTTTTAACCAGGCAAGTCAGTTAAAAACAAATTGTTATTTACAATGAGGGCAGCCTACTTGTAAAGCCCCCCCCCCCAACAACAAATTATTATTTACAATGACGGCGGCTGTGGTGGCCGAACAACGATGCTGATATGCTGTGTTGACAAGGAATCCGCTGACACTGTACTTTGATTATAAAGGTTTATTATATCAAAAGATTTCAGCGTCAATTTACAGATTTCTGCAGAATCTGGAGAACAACTAACCCAATCTCAAATATGATTATTCTCCCCGTCCTTTGTTGAAAACCTGGTATATATCCTATGTAACATAAGATGGTTGTTTTGAATAGACCAATCCCTGGCTTCCACGTATCCAAGTCTCCTCTGTTTCAGGGGGCCCCTATAGTAATGCTTTCCAGATGTTTCAGCAACGCAGAGTAAAGTTCATCTAACACACCATTTGCAAACGTCAGCCAAAATTATAAACTGTTCAGATATTACACGGCCTACTTGTAAAGCCCCCCTTCCCTAACCTAACCCGGAGGGATCGAACCCAGGTCTGTCGTGACGCCTATTAGCATTGTGATGCAGTCAGAAAAAGCAGTCAGAGAAAGTCGCTAGATTTTAGCGAGTATTCAGATCCCTCTAGCGACACATTTTCAAAAAAGCGACTAGCGACAAATCTAGCGACTTCTTCTGGTGTTATTGGAGACTTTTGGAGACTCTGACGTGAAAGCACGTATCGTTCTTACTCTTCTCAACGAGCAGCGGGTGCTTTGTTTCCCCCGTTATGCCCCTCTCCTACAGCGTCCATCACAATTACATACACACGGCCAATTATGCAAATTAGGTGATGACGTCATTTAGCGACTTCTAGCCACTTTTAGGACAGCCAATAGCTACTTTCCTTACTGAGGAGTTGGCAACACTGGATGCAGTGCCTTAGACCACTGTGCCACTCCGGAGCCCCCGAGTTAGGCAGGCAGCCCAATTCTGATCCTTTTTTCACTAATTTGACCAATCAGATCAGCTCTGAAAAGAGCTGATGTGAAACGATCTGATGTGACTGGTCAAAAGACCAATTAGTGGAAAAAAATATCAGAATTGGGCTGCCTGTGTAAACGCAGCCTAAGAGCTTTTTGTTGTCTGTGTAATGTTTCCTCTTCTACATTTATATTTACATTTACATTTTAGTCATTTAGCAGACGCTCTTATCCAGAGCGACTTACAGTTAGTGAGTGCATGCATTTTCATACTGGCCCCCCGTGGAGCAAGCCCCAGTCTTGTATTATCAGTGCACCTTTATATTGCTTCAAATATAGGGAGTCTACTGATGATGTGCTTAATGTAGTAATTATGCTTCTGATATTCTCTAAAGCAAGCTTATGGAGAAAAGGCTAATATCTTTAAAAGTGATGCAACATGCAACAATTTAAAAGATTTTGGTGAGTTACAGTTCATATAAGGAAATCAGTCAATTGAAATAAATAAATTAGACCCGAATCTATCAATTTCACATGGCTGGGCAGGGGTGCAGCCATGGGTGGGCCTGGGAGGGCATAGGCCCACCCACTGGGGAGCCAGGCCCAGCCAATCAGAATGAGTTTTTCCCACAAAAGGGCTTTTTTTACAGACAGAAGTACTCCTCCGCACCCCTTTCTCCCCCCTCTGATGATCCCGCAGGTGAAGAAGCCGGATGTGGAGGTCCTGGGCTGGCATAGTTACACATGGTCTGTGGTTGTGAGGCCGGTTGGACATACTGCCAAATTCTCTAAAACAACGTTGGAAGCAGCTTATGGTAAAGAAATTAACATTAAATTATCTGGCAACAGCTCTGGTGGACATTCCTGCAGTCAGCATGCCAATTGCAAGCTCCCTCAAAACTTGAGACATCTGTGGCATTGTGTTGTGTGACAAAACTGCACATTTTAGAGTGGCCTTTTATTGTCCCCAGCACAAGGTGCACCTGTGTAATGATCATGCTGTTTAGCTGTTTAGTCAGCTTGTTGATATGCCACATCTGTCAGGTGGATGGACAATCTTGACAAAGGATAAAATGCTCACTAACAGGGATGTAATCAAATGTATGCACAACATTTGAGAGAAATAAGCTTTTTGTGCGTATGGAAACATTTTGGGATCTTTTATTTCAGCTCATGAAACATGTGACCAACACTTTACATGTTGCGTTTATATTTTTGTTCAGTTTATTTGTCTTTTCCGCAAAAAGAGTAAGGTGAAGTTAGCACACATAACCAAACACTAGTGACTAGTTGACAGAAATCACGTAAAAAAGAATTTTGCTAATAAAAGTCATTGTCTGAGAAAAAAACTATTAACTGTCATTGACTTTTAATTTATGATAAACCTGGCCATGAAAATATTTGGGTATAGATCAAGAATATATTACATTCATATGGTTTGGACTCCCATAAAAATCGAGATATTAATATTATTTTGGTCTGTTTGATTGCATTTATTTGATGTTGGGCTTGTATTGTGAAAGGAACTCCGGGCCCGCTGCTGTTCGCCTATTGGTGCTGACCTGCCGCTGCATACATGTCAAATTAGCATCGTTGCGCTAGCTATTCAGGGACGTCTCTGGCGGCGGACTGCTGTGACCGTGGCAGACCAGGATCGGAGCTTAGTGCAGAGCTTAGTGCAGTAAGTGGCTGGATACCTTTATAACACGTGTTTCCACATGTTGGATTTGATATCACTTATTTTAGAGTCGTGCATCAGGTTTGGATGGTCAACGGGGGATGTGGGAGGGGGGGCAACTAGATGACTGAATCTGAGGATGTGGCACGCAGAAAGCTAGGGCTGTAGTTGAAACAGGGGCGCACAGCTGGGCTGAAACAGATGCTTTGAGTAATAGCCTATTAGCAGAGATATTACATGTCTTTGGGCGTTTGCACGGTGTTGGACGTTGACTCTGTATCCAGATGTAACGGTCTATATGCAGCGATTTGCTCCAGATCAAGCTGGTCTGCGTCGGTTGATAAATTTTTCCGATCCAGCCAATGGTAGGGCATTTGCACGGTCGGTTCATCTGACAAAATGGTGAGAAATATTGTAGGCTATGTTTCACTGAGCCACTCTCAAACCAGAGCTGGCTGGTTCTTGCACAATGTTATCCAGCTGTGTGACTAGCCTATGCTATGGGAAATCCCATTGTAGCATAAGACAAATGTTACAATGTAGTTAATATGGGTTAATATGTAGCCATTGAGGCCAGTGATTGGTGAAAACGTGGGGCTGGAAGAGCGGTCTAAGAGAACCGTCCCTTGTCAAGAGTTCAGATTTTATAATGGCTTAACCAAGATGATCAAATCAATGCTGCCGTTGTATTAGGCCTTCAGCCTATTGTTGCATTGGATTTGACCCACAGGCAGTCTGACTGATTGCCATTTTGTCAGAGGATGACATTTATAACAACTGTTGTTGTTTGTGAGTGACCAACAAGTCCTATTTGCTACAGACTGATGTGTTTGTGTGAGAGAGACCGCGATAAGGGGGCACCCATCAGTCGTGCTTATGCAATGAGTTATTATGGCCTGTATCCATTGAATTGAGTTATCTCGTGAGAACCCCATGAGCCTTAATTCAATTTAAAGAGACACTAGCGTCTCTCATAGACATCATACAGCCGCCAGCCCGAGTCTACGGAATACCTGTGTTTTATTGTTACTCCTGCACCAGCCATCTTTGGTGCAATTTCATCATCCAGTAGTAGACCAGCTACACAAATAACTTTGCAGTTTCTCACATAACGGGTTACAGACAGAGACATGCGTTTCAAAATGTCCCCTGTTACATCTGCAGCAAACTGGAACCGGATGGATAAAACACTGGATCCATTGTAACAACGGGTTAATGGAATCCAGTTCAGACTGGGTTACATTGTATCTCGGGAATGTCGTGCATATTGTTCCTCTCTGTGATTAAAAACAAACATGAAATCCATTTGATAGGAAATAAAAAATGCAGTAGCATGGCTTTAGTGCAGAAGTTCTCAAATGAAAGGGATTTTCTCCAGAACCTTTCTCTGTTCTGCCACACATACCCAGCCCTATGTGGTGCTAGACAATGTGTGGTCTTTCTTGCCTTGTCTAGGCTAGGATATATTATTTTAACATAGCCTACTGTAGTCTAATGTAGTTTAAATGAGCTTTTAAGCATTTTTTAATTGACTTGCCCATATAAATATAGCCTATGTTGATTAGGCCTAATTAGATTAGAATGAAGATGAGTGATAGCCTATCAACCTGTGTCTATGAGTAGGATGTTAAAACACAATTCATCCATTCATCTAGCCAGCCACACAATTCATCCATTCATCTAGCCAGCCAGCCAGCCACACAATTCATCCATTCATCTAGCCAGCCAGCCACACAATTCATCCATTCATCTAGAACAGCCAGCCGCACAATTCATCCATTCATCTAGCCAACCACACAATTCATCCATTCATCTAGCCAGCCAACCACACAATTCATCCATTCATCTAGCCAGCCAGCCACACAATTCATCCACTCATCTAGCCAGCCAACCACACAATTCATCCATTCATCTAGCCAGCCAACCACACAATTCATCCATTCATCTAGCCAGCCAACCACACAATTCATTCATCTAGCCAGCCAGCAACACAATCATCCATTCATCTAGAAAGCCAGCCGCACAATTCATCCATTCATCTAGCCAACCACACCAATTCATCCATTCATCTAGCCAGCCAACCACACAATTCATCAATCATCTAGCCAGCCAGCCACACAATTCATCCACTCATCTAGCCAGCCAACCACACAATTCATCCATTCATCTAGCCAGCCAACCACACAATTCATCCATTCATCTAGCCAGCCAACCACACAATTCATCCATTCATCTAGCCAGCCAACCACACAATTCATCCATTCATCTAGCCAGCCAGCCACACAATTCATCCACTCATCTAGCCAGCCAACCACACAATTCATCCATTCATCTAGCCAGCCAACCACACAATTCATCCATTCATCTAGCCAACCACACAATTCATCCATTCATCTAGCCAGCCAACCACACAATTCATCCATTCATCTAGCCAGCAACCACACAATTCATCATTCATCTAGCCAGCCCAACCACACAATTATCCATTCATCTATGTAGCATCCACCAACATTTCCATTATTAGCCAGCCAGCACCAATCATCCACTCTCACCCACCCACATGTCTCCATTCTTAGCGCCAAATTATTTCATCTCCAGACCACGCATCATCTTCTTGTTTCGAGAGATGTGAGGTGTGAGGGCACTGGTTGTGGGTTTGGGGTTTGAGAGACTCCTCGACCCGGCCACTGGTCTGTGGTTGTGGGGATGTGAGACTCCTCGACTCCGTCCACTGGTCTGTGGTTGTGGGGATGTGAGGTTCCTCGACCCGGCCACTGGTCTGTGGTTGTGGGGATGTGAGGTTCCTCGACTCCGTCCACTGGTCTGTGGTTGTGGGGATGTGAGACTCCTCGACTCCGTCCACTGGTCTGTGGTTGTGGGGATGTGAGGTTCCTCGACTCCGTCCACTGGTCTGTGGTTGTGGGGATGTGAGGTTCCTTGACCCGGCCACTGGTCTGTGGTTGTGGGGATGAGAGGTTCCTCGACTCCGTCCACTGGTCTGTGGTTGTGGGGATGTGAGATCCTCGACTCCGTCCACTGGTCTGTGGTTGTGGGGATGTGAGGTTCAGGACAATTTAGCGCTTCAAAACCCCTGTGTCAGGTCAGCCAGGCCATCTCCATAGCAACATTATACTGAATCAGCTATCCTATTTTGTGATAACATAAGAGACGTTACCTAGTAAGGTGTGATTTCTGGCTGATGTGTGAGTAATACAGGCCTATAGAATGTGTAATCAACTCAACAATGTGTGTGTGGTTGAGGGACTACGTCTACTCTAGTCTCAGAATTAAATAGAATTACTGGAATGCTGTTTCAGGGTTCGTCTTGTCCCAGGAAATACAATAGTCAAGGCCTCTAGTTTTGCTTTTTCGTGTTTTGTGTTGCATTATCCCCCTTGTCTCTAACTCGTAACGTAATGCTGTTTAGAACTGTGCCTGTGAGTGCCACACTTTTGGGAACTAATCTTGTGGAAAGAAACGTATCGTAGGGACACCTTATTACAGTTTTCCCAAAGTTTTTATTCAGGGGGATGTTATGAATTTCACCGCCTCTGACAATAGCTAGGATAATTTATGAATTTTGGTCGAGCGCGGGTAGATAAATCAGCTGGGGCAATATAATTAATCTGTGTTATGAATGTTTTACAGGGTAGATAAACAAGGACAAAATAATGAATCTTTGCTATTAAAATGTTGTTGTGTCCTTTCAGATAACCATGACGACAGAAATCTCCACCTCCATAAACATCAAGGAGCCTCGATGGGACCAAGGGACGTTTATGGGCCGGGCCAAACACTTCTTCACCGTTACCGACCCCCGCAACATCCTGCTCACCAATGAACAATTAGAGAATGCACACAAGGTCATCAGTGACTACCGGTAGTGTATTCTGAGCCTGGTTCTCCTTAGTTCTCCTTGGTTCTGGTTCCTCTTGGTGCTCCTTAGTTATCCTTGGTTCTGGTTCTCCCTAGTTCTCCTTGGTTCTGGTTCCTCCTGGTTCTCCCTAGTTCTCCTTGGTTCTGGTTCCTCCTGGTTCTCCCTAGTTTTCCTTGGTTCTGATTCCTCCTGGTTCTCCCTAGTTCTCCTTGGTTCTGGTTCTTCCTGGTTCTCCCTAGTTCTCCTTGGTTCTGGTTCCTCCTGGTTCTCCCTAGTTCTCCAAGGTTCTGGTTCCTCCTGGTTCTCCCTAGTTCTCCAAGGTTCTGGTTCCTCCTGGTTCTCCCTAGTTCTCCAAGGTTCTGGTTCCTCCTGGTTCTGCTGTATGGAAACAACCTATAACTGAGCTGAGAGCTCCTGTTAGAATTGGCCTCAGGCTTATTGGCATAGGTCTAGAATCAGTTTACCCTTAATTAACTCTTGATTAACCAGAAAGGCTGCAAATGGTTGCATTCTATGATGCAACATTGAATACAATGAACAATGTGGCTAGGGAAGAGACTGAAGGCTTCTACACTGATGCATTTGGGACCATGTTTATCAAATACAGGTTGTGTGCAACTCACAGAGTTGTGTTGGTACTAAGTAAACAGGCTCAGCTAATCACTTTGTCTTTGTCTTTGAACCCCCCCCCCCCTCTCCCCCCTCTCCCCCCTCTCCCCCCCAGGCAAGGTGTGATGTCCCCCGGGCTGACAGAGGACGAGCTATGGAAAGCCAAGTACATCTTCGACTCCGCTTTCCACCCAGACACCGGAGAGAAGATGATCCTGATTGGCCGCATGTCGGCTCAGGTCCCCATGAACATGACCATCACTGGCTGTATGATGACCTTCTACAAGTGAGCAGCAGTGTTCTATTAGAATGATAGAGTGTTATAAGACTGTTCTATTAGAATGATAGAGTGTTATAAGACTGTTAATAATAATAATAATAATATGCCATTTAGCAGACGCTTTTATCCAAAGCGACTTACAGTCATGCGTGCATACACTTTTTTTTTTGTGTATGGGTGGTCCCGGGGATCGAACCCACTACCTTGGCGTTACAAGCGCCGTGCTCTACCAGCTGAGCTACAGAGGACCACCTGTCTGTTCTATTTGAATGATAGTGTTACAGTGAGGGAAAAAAGTATTTGATCCCTTGCTGATTTTGTACGTTTGATCACTGACAAAGACATGATCAGTCTATAATTTTAATAGTAGGTTTATTTGAACAGTGTGAGACAGAATAACAACAAAAAAATCCAGAAAAACGCATGTCAAAAATGTTATAAATTGATTTGCATTTTAATGAGGGAAATAAGTATTTGACCCCTCTTCAAAACATGCCTTAGTACTTGGTGGCAAAACCCTTGTTGGCAATCACAGAGGTCAGACGTTTCTTGTAGTTGGCCACTAGGTTTGCACACTTCTCAGGAGGGATTTTGTTCCACTCCTCTTTGCAGATCTTCTCCAAGTCATTAAGGTTTCGAGGCTGACGTTTGGCAACTCAAACCTTCAGCTCCCTCCACAGATTTTCTATGGGATTAAGGTCTGGAGACTGGCTAGGCCACTCCAGGACCTTAATGTACTTCTTCTTGAGCCACTCCTTTGTTGCCTTGGCCGTGTGTTTTGGGTCATTGTCATGCTGGAAAACCCATCCATGACCCATTTTCAATGCCCTGGCTAAGGGAAGGAGGTTCTCACCAAAGATTTGACGGTACATGGCCCCGTCCATCGTCCCTTTGATGCGGTGAAGTTGTCCTGTCCCCTTAGCAGAAAAACACCCCCAAAGCATAATGTTTCCACCTCCATGTTTGACGGTGGGGATGGTGTTCTTGGGGTCATAGGCAGCATTCCTCCTCCTCCAAACACGGCGAGTTGAGTTGATGGCAAAGAGGTCGAGTTTGGTCTCATCTGACCACAACACTTTCACCCAGTTCTCCTCTGAATCATTCAGACGGGCATGTATATGTGCTTTCTTGAGCAGGGGGACCTTGCGGGCGCTGCAGGATTTCAGTCCTTCACGGCGTAGTGTGTTACCAATTGTTTTCTTGGTGACTATGGTCCCAGCTGCCTTGAGATCATTGACAAGATCCTCCCGTGTAGTTCTGGGCTGATTCCTCACAGTTCTCATGATCATTGCAACTCCTCGAGGTGAGATCATGGAGCCCCAGGCCGAGGGAGATTGACAGTTATTTTGTGTTTCTTCCATTTGCGAATAATCACACCAACTGTTGTCACCTTCTCACCAAGCTGCTTGGCGATGGTCTTGTAGCCCATTCCAGCCTTGTGTAGGTCTACAATCTTGTCCCTGACATCCTTGGATAGCTCTTTGGTCTTGGCCATGGTGGAGAGTTTGGAATCTGATTGATTGATTGCTTCTGTGGACAGGTGTCTTTTATACAGGTAACAAGCTGAGATTAGGAGCGCTCCCTTTAAGAGTATGCTCCTAATCTCAAATCGTTACCTGTATGAAAGACACCTGGAAGCCAGAAATCTTTCTGATTGAGAGGGGGTCAAATACTTATTTCCCTCATTAAAATGCAAATCAATTTATAACATTTTCGACATGCGTTTTTCTGGATTTTGTTGTTATTCTGTCTCTCACTGTTCAAATAAACCTACCATTAAAATTATAGACTGATCATTTCTTTGTCAGTGGGCAAACGTACAAAATCAGCAGGGGATCAAATATTTTTTTCCCTCACTGTATAAGACTTCTATTAGAATGATAGTGTTAAAAGACGGTTCTATTAGAATGATAGACTGTTCTATTATTATGATATATGGAAATGTCTGCTCTATCCAAAATTACAACCAACTAATTGCAGTATTACCGCAAAAATGGAAGAAGCAAGTGGAAGGGGGAGAAAGTAAGGAACTTGTCTGTCAGCCCTGCATTAAAGACTAAAATTGGTTAAAGAAAATTGTGATAAATAAAAAAAGTATACCAGTTTCATTTAAGGACCAAAAAATGGACAGCTGTGCCATACAGATTGCAAAACAGTTGGGAAGATATTTTCGATGTACCGATTCCATGGCACATGGTTTATGAACTGATACACAAAACGACGCCAGATTCAAAATGTAGAGTTTTTCAATTTAAATTATTATACAAAATTCTTGCAACCAATACAATGTTATCTATATATATATATATGGGGGATACAACCATCCCAGCTCTACAGATTTTGCTGCAAAGAGACAGAATCATTAGATCATTTGTTTTGGTACTGTCCATTTGTAGCTTGTTTTTGGTCACAGGTCCAGGAATGGCAGAAGAATTCCAATATTTACCTGGAGCTAACTCCGCAGATAGCACTGCTGAGTGATTTGAAAAGTCAAAGTCAATCAATCCATAAAATAATAATACTTTTAGCAAAAAAATTGTATATTTAATTAACAATCTGTGGAAACTATGAAAATAGAAAGGTTCAGGACTTTTGTAAAACATCACAGCACAGTTAAAAAATATATGGCAAAAAAAAAGACTTCTATTAGAATAATAGTGTTATAAGACTGTTCTATTAGAATGATAGTGTTATGAGACTGTTCTATTAGAATGATAGTGTTATAAGACTTCTATTAGAATGATAGTGTTATAAGACTTCTATTAGAATGACAGTGTTATGAGACTGTTCTATTACAATGACAGTGTTATGAGACTGTTCTATTAGGATGATAGTGTTATAAGACTGTTCTATTAGAATGATAGTGTTATGAGACTGTTCTATTAGAATGATAGTGTTATGAGACTGTTCTATTAGAATGATAGTGTTATAAGACTTCTATTAGAATGATAGTGTTATAAGACTTCTATTAGAATGACAGTGTTATGAGACTGTTCTATTACAATGACAGTGTTATGAGACTGTTCTATTAGGATGATAGTGTTATAAGACTGTTCTATTAGAATGATAGTGTTATGAGACTGTTCTATTAGAATGATAGTGTTATGAGACTGTTCTATTAGAATTATAGTGTTATGAGACTGTTCTATTAGAATGATAGTGTTATGAGACTGTTCTATTAGAATGATAGTGTTATGAGACTGTTCTATTAGAATGATAGTGTTATGAGACTGTTCTATTAGAATGATAGTGTTATGAGACTGTTCTATTAGAATGATAGTGTTATAAGACTTCTATTAGAATGATAGTGTTATAAGACTTCTATTAGAATGACAGTGTTATGAGACTGTTCTATTACAATGACAGTGTTATGAGACTGTTCTATTAGGATGATAGTGTTATGAGACTGTTCTATTAGGATGATAGTGTTATGAGACTGTTCTATTAGGATGATAGTGTTGTGAGACTGTTCTATTAGAATGATAGTGTTATGAGACTGTTCTATTAGAATGATAGTGTTATGAGACTGTTCTATTAGAATGATAGTGTTATGAGACTGTTCTATTAGAATGATAGTGTTATAAGACTGTTCTATTATAATTATAGTGTTATGAGACTGTTCTATTAGAATTATAGTGTTATGAGACTGTTCTATTAGAATGATAGTGTTATAAGACTGTTCTATTAGGATGATAGTGTTATGAGACTGTTCTATTAGAATGATAGTGTTATGAGACTGTTCTATTAGGATGATAGTGTTATAATAATCTGTTCTACTACAGGATGTGATAGAAAGGGAAATCGGGTCATTCCATGTGTCACTGATAGTTCATACTGTAGCTGGTGGGTAATGCAGGCAGAGTACCAGTAAGATTTTGACACCAAAAGGATGTAACGTTCTCATCATTCATTCTCATCAATCAAAACAGGGTTGCAGTGTTTTTGAGATGAGTGTAATTGAGAAGATGGGTAGATCAGTGGTTGTGTGATGTGGTGTCACTGCTATGCCTGCTATTACCTGATGGCTTCCCATCTCTCTCTGATATCTCTCTATACTCCCTTGTTTTGTACACAAAGAAATCCCCATTTGTCAGGGTTAGGTGCTTTATCTTATTAATTGTCATCTCTCTCTCTCTCTCTCTCTCTCGCTCAATTCAATTACATTTTACAATTCAATTCAATTCAAGGGCCTTCATTGACATGGGAAACATATGTTTACATTGCCAAAGCAAGTGAAGTAGATAATAAACAAAAGTGAAATAAACAATAAATATTAACAGTAAACATTACACTCAGAAGTTCCAAAAGAATAAAGACATTTCAAATGTCATTATGTATATATACAGTGTTGTAACAATGTGCAAATAGTTAAAGTACAAAAAGGGAAAATAAATTAACATAAATATGGGTTGTATTTACAATGGTGTTTGTTCTTCACTGGTTGCCCTTTTCTTGTGGCAACAGGTCACAAATCTTGCTGCTGTGATGGCACACTGTGGTATTTCACCCAATAGAGATAGGAGTTTATCAAAATTGGATTTGTTTTCGAATTCTTTGTGGGTCTGTGTAATCTGAGGGAAATATGTGTCTCTAATATGGTCATACATTTGGCAAGAAGTTAGGAAGTGCAGCTCAGTTTCCACCTCATTTTGTGGGCAGTGTGCACATAGCCTGTCTTCTCTTGAGAGCCAGGTCTGCCTACGGGGTCAAATACTTATTTCCCTCATTAAAATGCAAATCAATTTATAACATTTTAGACATGCGTTTTTCTGGATTATTTTGTTGTTATTCTGTCTCTCACTGTTCAAATAAATCTACCATTAAAATTATAGACTGATCATGTCTTTGTCAGTGGGCAAACGTACAAAATCAGCAGGGGATCAAATACTTTTTTCCCTCACTGTATATATGTTGAAGAGGGTGGGGCTTAAGCTGCATCCCTGTCTCACCCCACAGCCCTGTGGAAAGAAATGTGTGTTTCTTGCCAATTTTAACCGCACACTTTTTATAATGTCGTATGTTTTTCTCCCAACACCACTTTCCATCAATTTGTATAGCAGACCCTCATGCCAAATTGAGTCAAAAGCTTTTTTGAAATCAACAAAGCATGAGAAGACTTTGCTTTTGTTTTGTTTGTTTGTCAGTTAGGGTGTGCAGGGTGAATACGTGGTCTGTCATACAGTAATTTGGTAAAAAGCCATTTTGACATTTGCTCAGTACATTGTTTTCACTGAGGAAATGTACAAGTCTGCTGTTAATGATAATGCAGAGGATTTTCTCAAGGTTCCTGTTGACGCATATCCCATGGTAGTTATTGTGGTCAAAACCCCAATCCACAAAAGTGGAGACAGATATAAGTCCTTGGTTCCAAATATTGGCGAAGATGCCAGAGCTGAGGATGATGTTAAAAAGTTTAAGTATAGCCAATTGGAATTTGTGGTCTGTATTTTTTTATCATTTCATGTAGGATACCATCAACACCACAGGCCTTTTTGGGTTGGAGGGTTTGTATTTTGTCCAGTAGTTAATTCAATGTAATTGGAGAATCCAGTGGGTTCTGGTCGTCTTTAATAGTTGATTCTAAGATTTGTAATTGATCATGTATATGTTTTTGCTGTTTGTTCTTTGTTATACAGCCAAAAAGATAGGAGAAGTGTTTTATCCACACATCTCCGTTTAGGATAGATAACTCTTTGTGTTGTTTTTGTTTGTTTATTGTGTTCCAATTTTCCCAGAAGTGGTTAGAGTCTATGGATTCTTCAATTACATTGAGTTGATTTCTGACATGATGTTCCTTCTTTTTCCGTAGTGTATTTCTGTATTGTTTTAGTGATTCACCATAGTGAAGGCGTAGGCTCAGATTTTCTGGGTCTCTATGTTTTTGGTTGGATAGGTTTCTCAATTTCTTTCTTAGGTTTTTGCATTTTTTATCAAACCATTTGTCATTGTTGTTAATTTTCTTAGGTTGTCTGCTTGACATTTTTAGATTTGATAGGGAAGCTAAAATGTCAAATATACTGTTTAGGCTAACTACTGCCAAGTTTACACCTTCACTATTACAGTGAAATGTTTTGTCCAGGAAGTTGTCTTAAAGGGATTGAATTTGTTGTTGCCTAATTGTTTTTTGGTAGGTTTCTACACTACTTTCCTTCCATCTATAGCATTTCTTAATATTGTGCAGTACCTTTGGCTTTGACGCCTCATGATTGAGTATTGCTCTGTTCAGGTAGACTGTGATTTTGCTGTGATCTGATAGGTGTGTCAGTAGGCTGACTGTGAACGCTCTGAGAGACTCTGGGTTGAGGTCAGTGATAAAGTAATCTACAGTACTACAGCCAAGGGATGAGCTATAGGTGTACCTACCATAGGAGTCCCCTCTAAGCCTACCATTGACTATGTACATACCCAGCGTGCGACAGAGCTGCAGGAGTTATGACCCATTTTTGTTGGTTGTTTTGTCATAGTTGTGTCTAGGGGGGCATATTTGGGAGGGAATGCTGTCACCTCCAGGTAGGTGTTTGTCCCCCTGTGTGCTGAGAGTGTCAGGTTCTTGTCCAGTTCTGGCATTTAGGTTGCCACAGACTAGTACATGTCCCTGGGCCTGGAAATGGTTGATCTCCCCCTCTAGGATGGAGAAGCTGTCATCGTTCAAGTATGGGGATTCTAGTGGGGGGATATAGGTAGCACACATGAGGAAATTTTTCTCTGTTGAGATCATTTCCTTTATTAATTTCTAGCCAAATGTAAAATGTTCCTGTTTTGACTAATTTAATAGAGTGGGTTAGGTCTGCTCTAATACCAAATTAGCATACCTCCTGAGTCTCTTCCCGGTTTCACACCTGGTAGTTTGGTGGATGGGACTACCAGCTCTCTGTAACCTAGAGGGCAACCAGTGGGTCCGTCTCCTCTATACCATGTTTCTTGTAGGATGACAGTCTGTATTTCCAATGTATTTTATGAAGTCTGGGTTCCTGCTCATTAGGCCAAAGGCAGATGACCTCAGACCTTGTATATTCCAGGATGAAATCGTAAAAGCTTTGTGTTCCATAGTGTCTCTATCTCTCTCTCTCTCTCTCTCTCGCTCTCTCTCTCTCTCTCTCTCTCTCTCTCTCTCTCTCTCGCTCTCTCTCTCTCTCTCTCTCTCTCCCTCTCCTCAGGACAACTCCAGCCGTAGTCTTATGGCAGTGGATCAATCAGTCCTTCAATGCAATAGTCAACTACACCAATAGGAGTGGAGATGCTCCTCTCTCAGTCAAGTAAGTTGGTGTTATAGTTTCTATATCAGGGCTATTTAACTACTGTATATTCTTACAGGGGCCAGATGAAAAAAAGGTTTGATTGCATGGGGGCCGGACATTTTCCATGTGTGATTATTCTTCAGAAGAACTGTATAAAAAAGCAACGCACCAATAAATAACTTTTCTTTAAATTAAATGTTGATAAAAGTAATTAGGAAATAAATGGAGGGCGCTCAACCAAGTCGAGGTGGCAACCAAAACATTTGATAATCATTGAAAAGGAAAAGGCACAAAGCTCACCATTTTTATTTATTTAAACAACTATTAAAAGCATCTTAAAAGTACAGCCTCCACTTTTCTGTGAAGGCTTTCCACTAGATGTTGGAACATTGCTGAGGGGACTTCCTTCCATTCAGCCACAAGAGCATTTGTGAGTTCGGGCACTGATGTTGGACAATTAGGCCTGGCTCGCAGTCGGCGTTCCAATTCCTCCCAAAGGTGTTCGATAGGGTTGAGGTCAGGGCTCTGTGCAAGCCAGTCAAGTTCTTCCACACCGATCTCGACAAACCATTTCTGTATGCACCTCGCTTTATGCACGGGGTCATTGTCATGCTGAAACAGGAAAGGGCCTTCTCCAAACTGTTGCCACAAAGTTGGAAGCACAGAATCGTCTAGAATGTCATTGTATGCTGTAGCGTTAAGATTTCCCTTCACTAGAACTAAGGGGCCTAGCCCGAACCATGGCATTGCGAATGGTAATCTTAAGATTGTGTGCGGCTGCTTGGCCATGGAAAAGCATTTCATGAAGCTCCCAACTAACAGTTATTGTGCTGACGTTGCTCCCAGAGGCAGTTTGGAACTCGGTAGTGAGGTTTGCAACCGAGGACAGACAATTTTTACGTGCTACGCGCTTCAGCACTTGGTCCCGTTCTGTGAACTTGTGTGGCCTACCACTTCGCGGCTGAGCCTTTGTTGCTCCTAGACGTTTCCACTTCACAATAACAGCACTTACAGTTGACGGGGGCAGCTCTAGCAGGGCAGAAATGTAACAAACTGACTTGTTGGAAAGGTGGCATCCTATGAGCTCTTCAGTACTGGCCATTCTACTGCCAATATTTGTCAATGGAGATTGCATGGCTGTGTGCTCGATTTTATACACATGTCAGCAACGGGTGTGGCTGAAATAGCAGAATCAACTAATTTGAATGGGTGTCCACATACTTTTGTATATATAGTGTGTGTCAAATCAGGTAATGCCAAATTCTAGTCAGAAATGTCCCTCAGTCATTAGGTGTTTTTTTGTCACCCTCCCTTCTAACGAGGGGAAAACAGCAGGTCCGTGTTCCTAAGAGTCATAGCTTTCAGGAATGGGCTCAGAATATTTTGTAGCTTAAGCTGTTCAAACGCTAGAGACAAATTCATATGAAGAAGAAATCAACATGCCACATAGGCGTTAGAAACCACTAGAGACCGCTAGAAACCGCTAGAAACCACACCATAGACAACCACCATAGTGCTTGTAATTTTGGCACTGAACGTCGGATTTTGGCTGGGATTTTTTGCAGATCTTTACTATGTTGATTGAATAAGTGTGCCAGTCAATATAACGGCTGGATTGGCCTGCGGCCGTAGTGAATAGCCTGTTCTATATGTTTTGTTGATGTGGCCTGATTTTAGCTGATGGTGGCCGAGTTTAGCTGATGGTGCCTAGAGTTTTAGTTCAGGAGTGGCTCAGATAGTTTTTAGTTAGATGGTGCCTGTAGTTTTGAGATGATGCTGGCCTGTAGTTTAGTATCATATGGTGCCTGTAGTTTTAGTCTATTTGGCCTTATTCAGTGATGGGCACTGTAGTTTTATTTTGGCATGAAGTGGCTGTAGTTTTAGTTCTGGGCTGTTTTTTAGTTGATGGACTGTAATTTTAGTTGAGTGGCCATTATTTTTATCATATGTGCCTGAGTCTTTAGTTCAGGGCCTGTATTTCAGTTAGTGATGGCCATGAGTTTTTTTATGTGCTTATTTTACTGTGTGTGGGCCTGTATTTTTATCAAGTGGCCTAGTTTTTACGTCATGCTTCCGATTTAGCTGATCGTGGCCTGTATTTTATTCCTGGTGCCTGTGTTTACGTGAGGTGGCCTGATTTTAGTTGTGGGCCTGGTTGTCTATCATATGGTGCTACGCTAGTTTTTTATATGGTTGCCGTAGTTTATAATGGTGGCCTTAGTTCTATTATTGATGTTGGACTGTGTCTTAGTTCATGTGGCCGTAGTTTTAGTATGGTGCCTGTTTTATATGTGCTGTTTTTTGTTATGGTGGCCTGTAGTTTTTAGTTATGGTGGCCTGTAGTTTTTAGTTATGGTGGCCTGTAGTTTTTAGTTATGGTGGCCTGTAGTTTTTAGTTATGGTGGCCTGTAGTTTTTAGTTCATGGTGGCCTGTAGTTTTTAGTTCATGGTGGCCTGTAGTTTTTAGTTCATGGTGGCCTGTAGTTTTTAGTTGATGGTGGCCTGTAGTTTTTAGTTCATGGTGGCCTGTAGTTTTTAGTTGATGGTGGCCTGTAGTTTTTAGTTCATGGTGGCCTGTAGTTTTTAGTTCATGGTGGCCTGTAGTTTTTAGTTCATGGTGGCCTGTAGTTTTTTGTCTGGTGTGTTTCTGGTACCTATTAACCCTTTTCATGTTTTGCGTTTTGGATAATATGTGAATGAGTATGAATATGTGAATTGATGAATGCATCTCTCATTCGCAGTCAGCTTGGCACAGCCTATGTTTCAGCTACCACAGGGGCAGTAGCCACCGCTCTAGGGCTAAATGCACTAACAAAGGTATTAACCCATATAAACCCTGTTCCCATTCATTCATTTACCATCAACCACATCGCATGGCAGTGTTATCAAACCTAGCTACTCACAAGTCATATCATGAGTGGGTTATCATGTCCAGAATAGTTATCATGTCCAGAATAGTTATCATGAGTAGTTATCATGTCCAGAATAGTTATCATGTCCAGAATAGTTATCATGTCCAGAATAGTTATCATGTCCAGAATAGTTATCATGTCCAGAATAGTGAATAGTAACCATGAATAGAAGTGAATAGTAACCATGAAGTAGTCTACATATTTTGCCTGCTGCCTGCTTTGCTGGTTAGTCAATGTGTTGAAAGATAAATAAAATGTTGTGTATTTCATACAGTATTCCCACTGTGGAACCAAATGTCACTCATAATACCTGTCATGACATGCACAAAGAGCTTTCAGCTTTGGAAAAATAAGCCTTGCCGAATAATTCTATTAGAATGTATAGATCAATTTCACCCCTGCCTGTCTGTTTACTCCAACCTTTGTTGTTGTCCAGCACATATCTCCCCTCGTAGGGAGGTTAGTTCCCTTCGCTGCTGTTGCTGCTGCTAACTGTATCAACATCCCTCTCATGAGGCAACGGTAAGACCAACTAGTCTGTACCTCCTCCTGTTTGAAAATGTGGCTTTGCAAATATGCACTCAGCATTTTAAGTGGTTTTTATTCAAAATTCTCTACTAAAATGTAAATGTTTGAAATGTTAATTAGGTGTCTCTGTGATTCCCTCGTTTTTAAAACGCTTATTTCCATCTTTCTTTCCACAACTTGGAACGAGGTCTTTCAACAGGAAGCGTCTTTACCGTCAATGCCAGTTGTTTACCTTCTTCTTCTTCTTCTTCTTCTTCTTCTTCTTCTTCTTCTTCTTCTTCTTCTTCTTCTTCTTCTTCTTCTTCTTCTTCTTCTTCTTCTTCCTCCCAGGGAACTCAAACACGGCATTCCGATAACAGACGAGAACGATAACCGGTTAGGAGAGTCAACGACCGCCGCTAAGCAGGCTATCTCCCAGGTGGTGGTGTCTAGAATCCTCATGGCCTCTCCTGGAATGGGTATGTATTACGTAATATGCTTTAGGAGACCCAATCTGGCAACCCAATGGGATCTTTGGCTCCAACCTGGCAACTCAAGATGATACATTGGAAATGATAAAAGGTTGAAATCCACCATGTTGTCAAGTGAAATATAATGTTTGATTATGATGTATGAATAAACGTTTATAAAGGATTAACATTTTATTTCACTATTTTGTTTTCAGCTATCCCTCCATTTTTAATGAACACCTTGGAAAAGAAAGCCTTCCTGAAGGTATTATTCACACCATTTTATCATTTTATTTGTTCACGTATGATGTATTGTATATTCACTTACTTTCTCATATTAATGATGGCAGTCAGCCTTACTTTTTCATATCTAAATGATATCTATTATTTTCTCATATATATGATAGCACTAAGCCTTTTGATAAGTGGCTATACTAGAGACAGTATATATAATGGCCTGTCGTTGTGTGAGCACGCCATCGAGGGACTCCAGTATTCACATGGTCCTCCATAGCAGTCTTCTAGACACAGTCAGCGGCTAAATCCAAATGCTCTGAAGTAATTTCCTTTCCTATGTGTCCTATTTCCTCATCCTGATCCAAACTAACTGGATAGGTAGAAACATAATAGTGCCTACTAAGCTATAGCCCTCAGCCATATTGCCTATAGCCCTCAGCCATATTGCCTATAGCACTCCAGCCCTTTCAGTGATCAGTGAGTGTGAGGAAACAGGGACAAACAAAGTCAATCTTAAATGAATCATTCTTTATTATCAGCTCGCTGGAGAGGTTCCAACCAACTCAATGCACCAAGTACACATGTCGATCAGGAGCTCTACCCGGGGCAGTCCCGTTAGTTCAATTATATATAGACAAGTTATATTTGCATGATTTAGCTTATTCATCATTTATAATTAATTCATCATTAACGTTTGCTTCATTCATGTGACCGACCAATCCTGGTTCATGCATGTGACAGGCCAATACCTCACAAGGCTTCTTCTCTCTAAACTGAGACCTTGAAACTGAGATATCTTTCGTTCTCAAAACAAGGGTCTGCCAAATTGCAGATACTGATAGTGAGGATTCGTTCAATAAGTCTCTTGCATGAACACAGAAATTGTTTATTAGAAAAGCACAATCATAGAACACAGAAATTGGTTAATAGAAAAGCACAAACTTACAATTTTCCATCAGATATCCCTTCCTTTGTTTTTCTCATTGTTTCTGGTATTTTCAGAAGTTCCCATGGATGAGTGCACCTATTCAAGTGGTCTTGGTGGGATTCTGGTAAGTGGCCAGCAAGGGACTGTTGATAAACCACCATTTGGACTGTTGATAAACCACCATTTGGACTGTTGATAAACCACCATTTGCAACCCTATTACAGTATATCAGTCAGGACATAAACGCTGTGAAGAACCCGTGACATATACTGTAAACGCTGTGAAGAACCTGTGACATATACTGTAAACGCTGTGAAGAACCTGTGACATATACTGTAAACGCTGTGAAGAACCTGTGACATATACTGTAAACGCTGTGAAGAACCTGTGACATATACTGTAAACGCTGTGAAGAACCCGTGACATATACTGTAAACGCTGTGAAGAACCTGTGACATACTGTAAACGCTGTGAAGAACCCGTGACATATATTGTAAACGCTGTGAAGAACCTGTGACATATACTGTAAACGCTGTGAAGAACCCGTGACATATACTGTAAACGCTGTGAAGAACCCGTGACATATACTGTAAACACTGTGAAGAACCTGTGACATATACTGTAAACGCTGTGAAGAACCTGTGACATATACTGTAAACGCTGTGAAGAACCCGTGACATATACTGTAAACGCTGTGAAGAACCTGTGACATATACTGTAAACGCTGTGAAGAACCTGTGACATACTGTAAACGCTGTGAAGTACCCGTGACATATACTGTAAACGCTGTGAAGAACCCGTGACATATACTGTAAACGCTGTGAAGAACCTGTGACATATACTGTAAACGCTGTGAAGAACCTGTGACATATACTGTAAACGCTGTGAAGAACCTGTGACATATACTGTAAACGCTGTGAAGAACCCGTGACATACAGTGGGGAAAAAAAGTATTTAGTCAGCCACCAATTGTGCAAGTTCTCCCACTTAAAAAGATGAGACAGGCCTGTAATTTTCATCATAGGTACACGTCAACTATGACAGACAAAATTAGAAAAAAAATCCAGAAAATCACATTGTATGATTTTTTATGAATTTATTTGCAAATTATGGTGGAAAATAAGTATTTGGTCAATAACAAAAGTTTCTCAATACTTTGTTATATATCCTTTGTTGGCAATGACACAGGTCAAACGTTTTCTGTAAGTCTTCACAAGGTTTTCACACACTGTTGCTGGTATTTTGGCCCATTCCTCCATGCAGATCTCCTCTAGAGCAGTGATGTTTTGGGGCTGTCGCTGGGCAACACTGACTTTCAACTCCCTCCAAATATTTTCTATGGGGTTGAGATCTGGAGACTGGCTAGGCCACTCCAGGACCTTGAAATGCTTCTTACGAAGCCACTCCTTCGTTGCCCGGGCGGTGTGTTTGGGATCATTGTCATGCTGAAAGACCCAGCCACGTTTCATCTTCAATGCCCTTGCTGATGGAAGTAGGTTTTCACTCAAAATCTCACGATACATGGCCCCATTCATTCTTTCCTTTACACGGATCAGTCGTCCTGGTCCCTTTGCAGAAAAACAGCCCCAAAGCATGATGTTTCCACCCCCATGCTTTACAGTAGGTATGGTGTTCTTTGGATGCAACTCAGCATTCTTTGTCCTCCAAACACGACGAGTTGAGTTTTTACCAAAAATTCTATTTTGGTTTCATCTGACCATATGACATTCTCCCAATCCTCTTCTGGATCATCCAAATGCACTCTAGCAAACTTCAGACGGGCCTGGACATTTACTGGCTTAAGCAGGGGGACAGGTCTGGCACTGCAGGATTTGAGTCCATGGCGGCGTAGTGTGTTACTGATGGTAGGCTTTGTTACTTTGGTCCCAGCTCTCTGCAGGTCATTCACTAGGTCCCCCCGTGTGGTTCTGGGATTTTTGCTCACCGTTCTTGTGATCATTTTGACCCCACGGGGTGAGATCTTGCGTGGAGCCCCAGATCGAGGGAGATTATCAGTGGTCTTGTATGTCTTCCACTTCCTAATAATTGCTCCCACAGTTGATTTCTTCAAACCAAGCTGCTTACCTATTGCAGATTCAGTCTTCCCAGCCTGGTGCAGGTCTACAATTTTGTTTCTGGTGTCCTTTGACAGCTCTTTGGTCTTGGCCATAGTGGAGTTTGGAGTGTGACTGTTTGAGGTTGTGGACAGGTGTCTTTTATACTGATAACAAGTTCAAACAGGTGCCATTAATACAGGTAACGAGTGGAGGACAGAGGAGCCTCTTAAAGAAGAAGTTACAGGTCTGTGAGAGCCAGAAATCTTGCTTGTTTGTAGGTGACCAAATACTTATTTTCCACCATAATTTGCAAATAAATTCATTAAAAATCCTACAATGTGATTTTCTGGATTTTTTTCTTCTCTATTTGTCTGTCATAGTTGACGTGTACCTATGATGAAAATTACAGGCCTCTCTCATCTTTTTAAGTGGGAGATCTTGCACAATTGGTGGCTGACTAAATACTTTTTTCCCCCACTGTATACTGTAAACGCTGTGAAGAACCTGTGACATATACTGTAAACGCTGTGAAGAACCCGTGACATATACTGTAAACGCTGTGAAGAACCTGTGACATATACTGTAAACGCTGTGAAGAACCTGTGACATATACTGTAAACACTGTGAAGAACCCGTGACATATACTGTAAACGCTGTGCAGAACCTGTGACATATACTGTAAACGCTGTGAAGAACCCGTGACATATACTGTAAACCTGTGAAGAACCGTGACATATACTGTAAAACGCTGTGAAGAACCTGTGACATATACTGTAAACGCTGTGAAGAACCTGTGACATATACTGTAAACGCTGTGAAGAACCTGTGACATATACTGTAAACGCTGTGAAGAACCTGTGACATATACTGTAAACGCTGTGAAGAACCTGTGACATCTGTAAATAAACATAATTAACTAGACATTTAGAATTCTGCTACCTGTGGCTTGTTTTAAAGCCTTGTTGATTACTGGCTGTGCAGCCCAAAAGAGTAAGTGGATCATATTTAGGTTTGGTTGATAGGAATGTGGACTTGTTGGATCCTTTTTCTTTTTTTTAGCCTTTGTATCCCACTACTTCTTATTCCCAATAGTTTTATTTCTTTTTCTTAATTCCCATTATGTTATTCTCTCTCCCATTTCTGTCTTCTCTTTTCCTTCCCATTTCTTAGCTAGGCCCTAAGGGAAACCGGTGGGGCAAAGAGATAGGAAAGCAAGGTTCTTGTTTAATTCTCATCTGCTATTCCTCCCCGATCTATGTCTGTCGCTCCCTTATTTACCCTCTTCTCTCTCTATCTCTATTCTCCGCCCTCTTCTCCCTATTCTCTCTCTTCTCCTCCTCTCTCTCTCTCCCTCTTTCTCCCATCTCTCTCCTCGTCCCTCTCTCTCTCTCCCCTTCTCCATCTCTCTCCCACCTCGCTCCCACTCTATCTCTCTCTCTCCCTCTCTCCTCCAGCTCTATGTCAGTAAGCCGATTGGAGCCAGAGCTTCAGGAGAAGATCCGTGTGAGCCACCCCGGGGTGGAGAGGGTCTACTTCAATAAAGGACTATGAGTGTCCAACCCAACAGTAGCCTCCTTGCACTGCCATACTACCCTCACAGCAGACACCACCCCAATATCCTCATTCTGTGTGCCAAAGTTTAGCCTTTCATCCTCAACTCTCCTCTTTTCTCTCCTCCTCCCCTCTCACCGTCTCTCTCCTCCCCTCTCCCTCCTCTCCTCCTCCCTCCTCCCCTCTCTCCATCTCCCTCCTCCCCCTCTCTCCATCTCTCTCCTCCTCCTCCTTCCTCCCCTCTCCCTCCTCTCCTCCTCCCTCCTCCCCCTCTCTCCATCTCCCTCCTCCCCTCTCTCCGTCTCCCTCCTCCCCTCTCCCCTCTCTCCGTCTCCCTCAGTCTTTTTGAGTTGTTTGCCTTGTCGCTGTTATGTTTGATTTATTTTTAATTGTAGAAAGATATTGTTATTGTGGCGCTGTGATGCTGGTGGTTTGGGTCTCCAGAAAGAGAAGCTTCTAACATAGACGTTTGTTAGTTTGTATTCCCATGCAGTCCTATTGTCAGTTATGGTTTTTGGGGCAATATTGCTGCCAAAACATTTTCATATTAAAAACAGTTGTTTGTGTTCAGTGGGGAACCAAGCAAAATAACAGGGACTCTATTCCTGTATTTGTAACAATAGCAGTAATCAGTATTATTCAGTCTTAATCTAACAATTCAGTCCTACTCCAAAATTCAATTCAAGTATTTGCCAAATCTCAACAACGGTTTGTGAGACCTCTCAACAATACACAACCTCTTAATAGTAATATATTAGCGCCATTTCAGATGATAACAATACGACATCCAGTGCATTTGAATGAATTCATATTTGCCAAATGAGTGAACTTCGCCAGGGCTACGTCTCAAATGGCACCCTATTCCCATAGGGCTCTGGCCAAAAGTAGTGCACTATGTAGGAAATAGGGTGCCATTTGGGATGCTGTCTACATTGGTTCCATGACCAGGGTTTACGCCGTCTAACAATGTGAGATCTTATAATGGTCTACAATAACCATTGTTCCGTATGTTACTGGTGCTTTTGATGCAATATCTTCATATCATTTACGTTTATTCCTGACTATTTATTCTGCTTCCCAAACCATGCATGAACAAACCACTCCTCATAAGTCTGATAGTATGGCATATGGTTGGTTACAGGTGTGTTTCAGACGGAGTCAACTAGTCTGTCTGTGTAGTCACTTCAGGGCTACATTCAGGGTGGCATCCGCTGCAGCTCTGTTTCAAAACAATGACAAATCTTACGTTCTACAAATACCTTCTACAGTTTGATATGTAGGGGTGCCAAATCTCCCCTTAAAGCAGAATCCGCCATGCCGTCTTGCCTTGAAATGAAAGTAGTGATTTATTTCAAGGTGTGGCAGAGTGGTGTTCCTTGTTAAGAGCAAAACCTTGCGGTCCTGAATGCAACCCAGTCATGAGACACCCACAGACCTTGCTGACCCATGTGCCAAAGAGCTGATGGTATGTTCGTTTATTGTGCTACTCTGCTGTCTCAGGCTAAACAAAAGCGCAGCATGTCTTATGCGTATTTGTCAATCCCTAATTTAAAATCTATATGACAATGAATTTGAGGAATAGTGAATGATTTCCTGCTGGAAGATTCACTCAAATTCACTGTGATGTTGTTAAACAAGGGACTACAGAAACATCAGTTAAAGCTACAGGTAGGCTACTGATGCAGTACTGTCAGACAAAAATAACTCTAGATAATAGCATTACCAGTACCTTAAAAAGTGACGCATACAGAGAAACAATAGAGAAATTGATAGTTTCAATCCTGTTTATTCCAAGAGTTTATGTCTGAAAAAAAAAAATGGAAGTGTAATTTTAAAAAAATGTTTTAAATCATTATTGTGAACATTCTGTTTGGTTGATAATAGTATCCTCCTTCTTCATCGCATTATGTGATTTTTGTAAGGTGTTTAAATGTTTAAGTATGAAAAATATCTACAGTATTGACTTGTATGGTTCTATATAAGTCTTTTCAGAGAGAATCCTGCTATAGACGTTGTTCTTACAGATGGTATGAAGAGGCTCTGGATAATGTTTCCGTGTATTTCAGTAGTTAAATGGAGCATCGGCAGGTCTAATTCAAACTGAGGCAGGGATTAAATCTAAGGCTTGTTGTAGAGCAGTGCATTGGACTGAGAATGCACCTTTTTTAAAGGCAATTTCTCTGACGTTCACAGAGATCACATTCACGGTAAACGCTGCACGTTGGCTCAAGTGTAAATTATGTTATAGTGTGCTGCTCTATAACGCGCCTTGGATTGAATCACGGTCTGAGCATCTGTTCATTGTTTGATGTTTTTCATATGTAAAACTGTGAATGCGATGTTTGGAAAATACAACATGAAAAAGCACAATATTGTGATTGATGGTTGATCTGAGATAATGCTTATTTCTAATTCTCAGTATTTCAAACTTCAAGTCCAATACATAATTAATGTGACAAAGCACATTCATTAATCAAGTAGATTAATGTAACTTTGAAAAACCAACAATTAGTGAGAGATAAGCACAATGGATTCTAATAACTGAATATTTGCAACCAGCGGACAATGTATGAGTGTCTCTTTACCGTAGTCTTTAACTTGATGTATTAAACCCCAAGAAATGCCACACAAACCTGCCCGAACAAACCTTAATTATTACAAAATAAAAATCTTAGGTAAATAACAATAAATGTTTCACAGGCCTTCAGTCTATCTGCCAAATCAATCTGCTGCAATGTCAATCTAGCCAAAGTGATACAAATCCACTGGAGGAATAAGTCATGACAGTTTACAGTCATCTAAATAAAATTGTTATTTTTAAGAAAGGGTATTATGGAATACTGTTAATAGTATTTAATAGTTTTTTTGCAGTAAATTTGGGATGTTGTAATGTCTAGACTAACTGGATGAAATAAAAAATAATGAAATCTCAAAAGGGTTGTACTGTTTTTACTAATAAAACTAATCAAAGTTTATTGGTCATGTACAGATTCTCAGATTTTTATCGCAGGTGCAGCTAAATGCTCATGTTTCTAGCTCCAACAGTGCAGTAATATCTAGCAACACAATAACAATACACACAGAATACAAAAAATTCAATACAAAACATGAAATGAATAAATATCTATATAAATGGTGTGCATGGACAGTATATGAATATAAAAGTTGTGTACAGAAGTAGTTTTATATAGGATGAGCCTTGACTAGAATACAGCATATACACTGAGTGTACAAAACATTAGGAACACCTTCCTAATATTGAGTTCCACCCCCCTTTTACCCTAAGAACAGCCTCAATTCGTCGGGGCATGGACTCTACAAGGTGTCGAAAGTGTTCCACAGGGATGCTGGCCCATGTTGACTCCAATGCTTCCCACAGTTGTGTCAAGTTGGCTGAATTTTCCTTTGGGTGGTGGACCATTCTTGATACGCACGGGAAACGGTTGAGCGTGAAAAACCCAGCAGCGTTCCAGTTCTTGGCGCAAACCGGTGCGCCTGGCACCTACTACCATACCCTGTTCAAAGGCACTTAAATGTTTTGTCTTGCCCAGTTACCCTCTGAATGGCACACATACACAATCCGTCTCAAGGCTTAAAAAAAAGTCCTTTAACCTGTCTCCCCTTCATCTACACTGATTGAAGTGGATTTAACAGGTGACATCAATAAGGGATCATAGCTTTCACCTGGTCAATCTGTCATGGAAAGAGCAGGTGTTCATAATGTTTTGTACACTGTGTACATATGAAGTGGGTAAAACAGTATGTAAACATTATTAATGTGACCAGTGTTAAATGTCTCTAAGGTACCGGGTGGTAGCTGGCTAGTAACAGTGACTAAGGTTCAGGGCAGGGTACTGGGCGGAGGCCGGCTAGTGGTGACTGTTTAACAGTCTGATGGCCTGGAGATAGAAGCTGTTCATCAGTCTCTCGGTCCCAGCTTTGATGCGCCTGCACTGTCTCCACCTTCTAGATGGTAGCGGGGTGAACAGCCCGTGGCTTGGGTGGCTGAGGTCCTTGATGATCTTCTTGGTATTCCTGTGACACCGGGGCCTGTAGATGTCCTGGAGGGCAGGACTGGAGCCTGGAGCCTGACTAGAGTTTCCCCTGGTCAGGTCACATGGTTTATTCCGTCTCCATGTAACAAAATAATAAAATATGAAAAAGTCTATAAAATAAAGTTTTCCTCAGCTTTCATCATTGCTCTCATTCAAACCCAGACAGGCAGAACCACTGCTTGCCTACTGCCATCTACTGGTCAAGGTTGGACACAGCAGAGGCCTTTTCCACCACAGTGCATTTTACTGCAATAGGAATGTTTTAACCATTTAAAAAGCTAATTACATTTACATTTACGTCATTTAGCAGACGCTCTTATCCAGAGCGACTTACAGTTAGTGCATACATAATTTTTTTATCAAGTGGGTTTAATGTGCCAGAATGATCCTGTGTTTCTCAACAAAAAATAATAAACAGAAGAACAACGTCAAATCAGTTTATTCCAAGAAGAATTATAGAACCTATATAAATACAAACTCAACTGGTAGAGCACGGCGCTTGAAACGCCAAGGTAGTGGGTTTGAGCCCCGGGACCACCCATACACAAAAATGTATGCATGCATGACTGTAAGTCGCTTTGGATAAAAGCGTCTGCTAAATGGCATATTATTATTATTATTATTATTATTATTACTAATGCCTTCCACACACAACACCCTCCTGGATGGCTAGATGCATATTCTGACTGACTCTGTGTTATGCATATAAGAGCACAATGAAACTGGCATCTAATGTGGAGGAACCAGTAGGTGACTACATTGTGTTGCATGATTACATCATTCACGGTGAAAGTGCAGCAATGCAGATGAATGAAACGCATGCCAAGCCTCTACTGGACAGTTCAGCTAACAAGCAGACTTCTGGCATGATCAGACATGACCGCAATATGAATGAAGATGACTTACAATCTACAATCCTTCATCTACCAAAAACCCAGTTGTTACTGACCCAAGTCTTCCTGGTGCCCTCTGAGACCCAGTTGTTACTGACCCAAGTCTTCCTGGTGCCCTCTGAGACCCAGTTGTTACTGACCCAAGTCTTCCTGGTGCCCTCTGAGACCCAGTTGTTACTGACCCAAGTCTTCCTGGTGCCCTCTGAGACCCAGTTGTTACTGACCCAAATCTTCCTGGTGCTCTCTGAGACCCAGTTGTTACTGACCCAAGTCTTCCTGGTGCCCTCAGACCCAGTTGTTACTGACCCAAGTCTTCCTGGTGCCCTCTGAGACCCAGTTGTTACTGACCCAAGTCTTCCTGGTGCCCTCTGAGACCCAGTTGTTACTGACCCAAGTCTTCCTGGTGCCCTCTGAGACCCAGTTTGTTACTGACCCAAGTCTTCCTGCTGCCCTCTGAGACCCAGTTGTTACTGACCCAAGTCTTCCTGGTGCCCTCTGAGACCCAGTTGTTACTGACCCAAGTCTTCCTGGTGCCCTCTGAGACCCAGTTGTTACTGACCCAAGTCTTCCTGGTGCTCCCTGAGACCCAGTTGTTACTGACCCAAGTCTTCCTGGTGCCCTCTGAGACCCAGTTGTTACTGACCCAAGTCTTCCTGGTGCTCTCTGAGACCCAGTTGTTACTGACCCAAGTCTTCCTGGTGCCCTCAGACCCAGTTGTTACTGACCCAAGTCTTCCTGGTGCCCTCTGATACCCAGTTGTTACTGACCCAAGTCTTCCTGCTGCCCTCTGAGACCCAGTTGTTACTGACCCAAGTCTTCCTGGTGCCCTCTGAGACCCAGTTGTTACTGACCCAAGTCTTCCTGGTGCTCCCTGAGACCCAGTTGTTACTGACCCAAGTCTTCCTGGTGCCCTCTGAGACCCAGTTGTTACTGACCCAAGTCTTCCTGGTGCCCTCTGAGACCCAGTTGTTACTGACCCAAGTCTTCCTGGTGCCCTCTGAGACCCAGTTGTTACTGACCCAAGTCTTCCTGGTGCCCTCTGATACCCAGTTGTTACTGACCCAAGTCTTCCTGCTGCCCTCTGAGACCCAGTTGTTACTGACCCAAGTCTTCCTGGTGCCCTCTGAGACCCAGTTGTTACTGACCCAAGTCTTCCTGGTGCTCCCTTGAGACCCAGTTGTTACTGACCCAAGTCTTCCTGGTGCCCTCTGAGACCCAGTTGTTACTGACCCAAGTCTTCCTGGTGCCTCTCTGAGACCCAAGTTGTTACTGACCACCAAGTCTTCCTGGTGCCCTCAGACCCAGTTGTTACTGACCCAAGTCTTCCTGGTGCCCTCTGATACCCAGTTGTTACTGGACCCAAGTCTTCCTGCTGCCCTCTGAGACCCAGTTGTTACTGACCCAAGTCTTCCTGGTGCCCTCTGAGACCATTGTTACTGACCCAAGTCTTCCTGGTGCCCTCTGAGACCCAGTTGTTACTGACCCAAGTCTTCCTGGTGCCCTCTGAGACCCAGTTGTTACTGACCCAAGTCTTCCTGGTGCCCTCTGAGACCCAGTTGTTACTGACCCAAGTCTTCCTGGTGCCCTCTGAGACCCAGTTGTTACTGACCCAAGTCTTCCTGGTGCCCTCTGAGACCCAGTTGTTACTGACCCAAGTCTTCCTGGTGCTCCCTGAGACCCAGTTGTTACTGACCCAAGTCTTCCTGGTGCCCTCTGAGACCCAGTTGTTACTGACCCAAGTCTTCCTGTTGCTCTCAGACCCAGTTGTTACTGACCCAAGTCTTCCTGGTGCCCTCAGACCCAGTTGTTACTGACCCAAGTCTTCCTGGTGCCCTGAGACCCATTTGTTACTGACCCAAGTCTTCCTGGTGCCCTCAGACCCAGTTGTTACTGACCCAAGTCTTCCTGGTGCCCTCTGAGACCCAGGGTTAAATCAAGTACCATGACATCCATCACATAGAAATAACGAAGAAGGAAGGAAGGATTGTGTTGTAGGAAATGTGCTCCAGCCAAGGAGAATGGCTCTTCTTTCTTATAATATTATCACTGTACACATTCAGTTCAAAGAACCATGGTCCTCCCGCAGACTCCTGCTCAGCATGGTGTTATATTTGGAATGTGTTGGACTTCGAGAGTCTACAATTGGCACTTGAGTAAGGTTTACTGGTACAAATGGTTCCATGAGTGTTCTGTAGTATGGGATTCGAGTTTATACTTCATACTGTAAATTCTTAAATGATTGCTCACATACAGTATATACTTCCTGATTAGAGAAAATGATGTTTATGTTGGAAACATGGATGACAAATTACATTGGTATATCCTCAACAACATTCCTTTGTTTTCCAAGGAAAATATATGACAAAGTACAAATAAGTACTGTGATAACATTGTTTCTGTTTTTAAATAAGGCGAATATAAATACTCTGTTATATAATCATAATACACAACAACACAATTATTACACTTCTGCTCCATCAGAAGGTAAGAAGGTTTTAAAAAGTCACTCATATTAAGTACACTTTTACATGGGGCACCATTTTAGAGTGTCTTCGGACAGATGTCAAAGATTGTCTCTGCAAACCTTCATATTATAAGCACATAGAAAAAGACAACACTTCTTCCTAATTGCTGACACCTGTATGGTCTTTCAGCAGACAGTCTTAACCCCCCTGGACAAAGAGAGTCAGAGCTCCTATAAACCCTAGTGTAAGATCCCGTCCCCTGTGGCCATTGAGAGTCAGAGCTCCTATAAACCCTAGTGTAAGATCCCGTCCCCTGTGGCCATTGAGAGTCAGAGCTCCTATAAACCCTAGTGTAAGATCCCGTCCCCTGTGGCCATTGAGAGTCAGAGCTCCTATAAACCCTAGTGTAAGATCCCGTCCCCTGTGGCCATTGAGAGTCAGAGCTCCTATAAACCCTAGTGTAAGATCCCGTCCCCTGTGGCCATTGACAAAAGACACTCTGGCAGCGGTAGTGAACACTGTCAGTCAGAGGGTGAGGGGCAACAGAAAGGCTTTTTCAAGTCAAAAGATGCCGCCCTGGGGTCACCTGTATAGATGGATGGGGCAATTAACCTATGTAACCCACTTAGTTTAGCATGGGCTAGCCTTTGCTACCTTAAGTTAGCTTAGCCTAGTCAAGCATATAATGGCTAAACCAAGGTTAAGTTAGCAAAGCCTAGCCTCAGACAAACTCCTCCTCGCAGAGGGCCTCCCCCATCAGCAATGAGTGTTTGTTGGGTTCGCTGAGGGCCATGCTGTTGAGGGAGTGCTTTGATTGGAGGGAGTTGATGGAGGTGCGGCTGAAGTTGACAACGCGGTCCAATAGGCTCAGCCTGGGGGAGGAGCGGCGCAGCTCGCCCATGCCGATGTGGACGCTGACGTCTGATAGGCTTGCAGCGTGTCTCTTCTGACTGCCCCGACGAGACTCCAGCAGCTCAGCGCTGGGCTTAGTGTAGCTACAATCAGAGAGAGGAGAGTTAGTGTAGCTACAAACAGAGAGAGGAGAGTTAGTGTAGCTACAATCAGAGAGAGGAGAGTTAGTGTAGCTACAAATCAGAGAGAGGAGAGTTAGTGTAGCTACAAACAGAGAGAGGAGAGTTAGTGTAGCTACAATCAGAGAGAGGAGAGTTAGTGTAGCTACAAACAGAGAGAGGAGAGTTAGTGTAGCTACAAACAGAGAGAGGAGAGTTAGTGTAGCTACAATCAGAGAGAGGAGAGTTAGTGTAGCTACAATCAGAGAGAGGAGAGTTAGTGTAGCTACACACAAGAGAGAGGAGAGTTAGTGTAGCTACACACAGAGAGAAGAGAGTTAGTGTAGCTACAAACAGAGAGAGGAGAGGTAGTGTAGCTACAATCCGAGAGAGGAGAGTTAGTGTAGCACATCAAGAGAGGAGAGTTAGGGTAGCTACACACAGAGAGGGGAAAGTTAGTGTGGGCGACACAAGAGAGAGGAAGTTAGTGTAGCTACAATCAGAGGGGGAAAAGATTTGTGTGCTAAAAATCAGAGAGAGGAAGTTGTGTAGCTCAAATCAGAGGGGGAAAAGTTAGGTAGCTAAAACCCCGAGGAGGAGATTTAGGTACCCCACCCAGAGGAGGAGAGTTAGTGTAGCTACAACAGAGAGAGGAGATTTGTGTAGAAAAAATCAAAAGAGGGGGAGTTTTTTTTCTACACACAGAGAGAGGAAGTTAGTGTAGCTACAAATCAGAGAAAAGGAGATTAGGGTAGCTACCCCCAAGAGAGGGAGATTATTTGTGCTACACACAAGAGGGGAGAGTTATTGTAGCAAAAACAAAAGGAGGAGATTTTGTGTACTAAAAACCAGAGAGGGGAAGTTAGTGAAAGCTAAAACCCCAAAAGAGAGGAGAGTTAGTGAAAGGCTACACCCCAAAGAAGGAGAGCCAAAACACACTAAACACTCAATTTGGATTTTCAGTTCTGGATTTAAGAAAACGAAGAAAGGGGGGGTTAGGAAGCTAAGCCCAAACACCACAATCCTCAAAAAACCCATTTTTTGAGGGGAAACTGGCCACTCTCTAACTCCCCCCTTTTTGGGATAGTAGAGGGACACACCACAGAGACAGGGGAAAAGGGCCCATGGCACCCAAAACCCACCATGGCGGGGAAAACCCAAAGACCAACGGGCATAACACCCAGCAGCGTGGGATCCCCACCAGGTTATGGGTTTGAGAGCAAACACAAAGTTGATCCTGATTCTCTCCACAGTCTTCTTGGAAAATTTAAAACTCCCCACCCCATCCACATCTTCTGGACAGTGGGTTGAAGCCCCGAGAAATGGGGGAGAGAGAGCCTAAATGGGGGGGAAAAAGAAGTGATAACGGGGGTTAGAGAGATGGGGGTAAAGAAGGGTAAAGCGAGGAGGGGCGAAGAAAAGGAATAGAAAAACTGATAAACCAAAGAATAAGAATGAATTTCCCCCCCCCCCCTTATATATAAAATTTATCAAAGAAAAATAGATTAAATACTCGAATTTTAAGAAAAAAAGAGAAGGAAAAATAATATAAAAAAACGGGGGAAAGAAAGGCGAAAATAAAAAAAAAGAAAAAAAAATTTATTTTTTTATTTTTTTTTTTGGGGGAAAAAAAAAAATTTAAAAAAGAATATAAATTTTGAAAGGAGACCCGGGGGGGTAGAGTATTTAAGAAGAAGGGAAAAAATTTTGGGAGGGGAAAAGAGAAGGGTTTTAGGGGGGAGAGAGAGAAGTAGAGAGAAAGAGATAAAAAGAAGGGGCGGGGAGAGATAAGGGGAGGGGGGAGAGATTTAAGAGATTAAAGAGAAGACGGGGCTTAGAAAAAGAAGAAGAAGAAAGGAAGAGAGAAGGGGGCAAATAATTTTTTAAAAAGAGAGATAGATAATATTAGAGAAGGTGGAGAGGTGGAATAGGGTAAAGAAGGGGAAACCCAAAAATTGAAAATTTTTGGGGGGGAAAATTGTGAAAGGGGAAAAAAATGAAAAGAACCGGGGCCCCAAGATAAAGGGGGGCCAGGAGAGAAGAAAACCGAGAGTAGAAGATTTTTTTCCCTTTTCAAGAAAAATTTTTTTTTCTGAAGATTATATATTTTTCTAATTTTTTAATATTCTCATTTAATAATTTCCAAAAAATTTAATTATATATCTTATATTATTATAGAGATATATAATTATATATATTATATAACCTTTTTTTTTTATTGTTTTTTTTTTCTTTTTTCTTGGTTTTTTTTTTTTCCCCTTTTTTTTTTTCCCCTTTTTCACCCTTTGTTTTTTTCCCCCCTCCCCGATTTTTTTTCTCTCTCTTTGTCTCGAAAAAGGGGGGGGGAGAAAAACTAAAAAAAAGAAAGGGGGGTTAAGAAAAAGGGGCTGGGGGCGGGGGTTTTTAAAAAGGGGGGAGGGGAAGAGAGAAGAAAATTACGGGCCCCCGAAAAAAAAAGAATTTGGGGGAGAGAGGGAGGGAAAAGTGAGTTAAAAGCCCGGGGTCGGGGGGGGTCTGGAAGGAGAGGGGGGGAAATGGGGGGAGAAGGTTGGGGCCCCCACCTCGGGGTGGCGAGAGAAAGGGTGGGTGAGAGAGAGGGGGAAAAAGGGGGAAGGTGGGTAGTTTGGGGGGGGAGGGTATAAACCCCAGGAAAATAAAAAAAAAGGGGAAAAAGGGGGATAAAACTCGGACCGGGACGGGGTAAAAAAAAAAAGTAAAAATTATATATGAACCAAAATTAGCTTTACCCCTTTTAAAAAAAATTTAGGGAAATTTTTAAAAACCCCCCTTTGAAAGACGAAACAGGGAGGCAGACAGAAGACAGGGAGGCAGACAGAAGACAGGGAGGCAGACAGAAGACAGGGAGGCAGACAGAGGACAGATGACAGAGGACAGATAACAGGCAGATAACAGGGAGGCAGACAGAGATGAGAAGATAAAAGGGGAAACAGAGACATATTAACATCTAGCGATTCTCAGACATATTAACATCTAGCGATTCTCAGACATATTAACATCTAGCGATTATCAGAAAGAAAATGTGGCGCCGGAGATTTGACCGGCAAAATTTTAATTCACCAGACATTTGAGAAATGTACCTGACCCATATCCATTGGGCGCGTAACCTGATTAGGGCGTCCACCCACGGTGCTCAGAATGACAGAAATCATGCATAGTCACTTTACAAATTATTGGATGGATGGCTGAGATCTAAAAGCTTCTGCCAGTGGCTCGATAGCCAAAGAAGAAAGGAGAGGACTAGCAGGGCAACCCTGTCTTGTGCCACGTGATCGAGAGAACTGGGAGGAAACATTTCCATTAGTCAGGATCTGAGCTACCGGACATTTGTACATTAATCTAAATCAGACCTACAGTGGGGAGAACAAGTATTTGATACACTGCCGATTTTGCAGGTTTTCCTACTTACAAAGCATGTAGAGGTCTGTAATTTTTTATCATAGGTACACTTCAACTGTGAGAGACGGAATCTAAAACAAAAATCCAGAAAATCACATTGTATGATTTTAAAGTAATTAATTTGCATTTTATTGCATGACATAAGTATTTGATCACCTACCAACCAGTAAGAATTCCGGCTCTCACAGACCTGTTCGTTTTTCTTTAAGAAGCCCTCCTGTTCTCCACTCATTACCTGTATTAACTGCACCTGTTTGAACTCGTTACCTGTATAAAAGACACCTGTCCACACACTCAATCAAACAGACTCCAACCTCTCCACAATGGCCAAGACCAGAGAGCTGTGTAAGGACATCTGGGATAAAATTGTAGACCTGCACAAGGCTGGGGTGGGCTACAGGACAATAGGCAAGCAGCTTGGTGAGAAGGCAACAACTGTTGGCGCAATTATTAGAAAATGGAAGAAGTTCAAGATGACGGTCAATCACCCTCAGTCTGGGGCTCCATGCAAGATCTCACCTCGTGGGGCATCAATGATCATGAGGAAGGTGAGGGATCAGCCCAGAACTACACGGCAGGACCTGGTCAATGACCTGAAGAGAGCTGGGACCACAGTCTCAAAGAAAACCATTAGTAACACACTACGCCGTCATGGATTAAAATCCTGCAGCGCACGCAAGGTCCCCCTGCTCAAGCCAGCGCATGTCCAGGCCCGTCTGAAGTTTGCCAATGACCATCTGGATGATCCAGAGGAGGAATGGGAGAAGGTCATGTAGTCTGATGAGACAAAAATAGAGCTTTTTGGTTTAAACTCCACTCGCCGTGTTTGGAGGAAGAAGAAGGATGAGTACAACCCCAAGAACACCATCCCAACCGTGAAGCATGGAGGTGTAAACATCATTCTTTGGGAATGCTTTTCTGCAAAGGGGACAGGACGACTGCACCGTATTGAGGGGAGGATGGATGGGGCCATGCATCGCGAGATCTTGGCCAACAACCTCCTTCCCTCAGTAAGAGCACTGAAAATGGGTCGTGGCTGGGTCTTCCAGCATGACAACGACCCGAAACACACAGCCAGGGCAACTAAGGAGTGGCTCCGTAAGAAGCATCTCAAGTTCCTGGAGTGGCCTAGCCAGTCTCCAGACCTGAACCCAATAGAACATCTTTAGAGGGAGCTGAAAGTCTGTATTGCCCAGCGACAGCCCCGAAACCTGAAGGATCTGGAGAAGGTCTGTATGGAGGAGTGGGCCAAAATCCCTGCTGCAGTGTGTGCAAACCTGGTCAAGACCTACAGGAAACGTATGATCTCTGTAATTGCAAACAAAGGTTTCTGTACCAAATATTAAGTTCTGCTTTTCTGATGTATCAAATACTTATGTCATGCAATAAAATGCTAATTAATTACTTTAAAATCATACAATGTGTTTTTCTCGATTTTTGTTTTAGATTCCGTCTCTCACAGTTGAAGTGTACCTATGATAAAAATTACAGACCTCTACATACTTTGTAAGTAGGAAAATCAG